AGGTCGGCGGCGCAGCGGAGGATGCGGCGGACGAGGGAGGTGATGTGCTTCGACTCTTCGCCGAGAGCGGTTCGATCTCGGGGTGTGATCCGTGGGATGTACAGCCAGGATCGTCCGGTGGGATGGTTCTGGGCAATGAGGAAGGCTTTGTGCCAAGCCAGGGTCGGCGTGGACAGAGCAATCGGCCAGATTGTGGTTGCCGCGGCGTTGAGGGTAGAGAAGAGAGCTTTTTCGCCCGGGAGTAGAGGGTACGAGTTGATCTCGGTGGCTAGACATGCTTTCTGAAGGATGATGTTGGGTGAAGCAGCACATGGGATAGAGACAAGAGTATGTATGGTAGGGGCCGACAGGCGATGGCGTAGAAGAATCTCGTGCTGGTCCGAGGTCAACGTGTTGGCGGTTGGTTTCGCCAGGTCGCGGGCTGTCGTTCCAGTAGAAGATGACGGGTCTTCCGCCGTGGGCGTGTCTCCTACCTTGAGACGCTTGCTTGGGGGAGCTCCAGGCTTCTGTCTAGTGGGAGGGAACGAGGGGTGAGGCTTGGAGGTGCCCTCTTGGACGATTCCTGGGGCAGATGGTTCTGATCCTGATAGACGGCCGAACGGGAAGGCCTGCTGATGCTTCACAGCAGGAACATTTGCCTGCGAAGATGCTTCTGCCGAATTGGTCTGCGAGCCGGTTCTGTGGGCGCGAGGCCGCGGAGGCACGTATCGCTTGGGAAGCATGATGCCGAGGAGGTCATGACGGGTATACGATCAACATTGACGGAAGCATCTAGCGGCCTCTGGCTGTCGGAGAGGCGGGCTTGATCTAATGAAGAAAATCACATACGTCCAAGATGGCAATCGCGAGCACGGTGGGATATCGAAGTCTTCGGTGTGTCCTGCCCGGGGTCAGGAAGCAACCGGGCCATCCTGCCCTCTTGACAACAGACGCCTTCCGTTGACAACAAATGGCAATCGCCTGTCCCGTCTGCTCTTGCTGCCGATGCATCCGAATCATCGCAGGAACAGAATACGACGGCTTGCACTGCATGCCGCCTCGGTTCGGCCACAGCAGCACTAGACTGACACGCCAAGAGACGGTTTCCATTCATCATCATCAAAAGATCATTCGCATTTTGAGCTGACGCTGGACATGGCGGGCATGATCTATAAGAGCAATGGGACGCTTTTCCCCTGGTGCATGCAAAACTCACCACCCAATCCGTCATTACCAGCACGCTGAATCGACCGTAGATCCCCCTCTCACATGATGACTTCGTTGGCGACGTCCTGCGCCAGTCAGTAATCACACAGCATGAGGCTACTCTGATCGCCGGGGCGACGTGGGGAAGACGCACCCTCTTCAACTCCTTGTACGGCAGGCACACGCAGTTCTGCACGCGCACCTCGTCGCCGACGCCGCAGTCCTTGCCGAGAATGGTGATGCTCTGCACCTTGACGCCGTTCTTGATGATGCTCGTCGTGTGGCTGTTGACGGCCATGGGGGTGCCCTCGACGCGCGCCCAGGCGCCGACGCGGCTGCCCCAGCCGATGATCGAGTACAGCACGCACGCGTCGTGCTTGACCTCGCAGTCCTCGAGCACGACGGCCTCCTTGATGCGCACGCCGGGGCCGATGACGGCACGCGGGCCGATGGACACGTTGGGGCCGAGCTTGGCCGTCGGGTCGACGGTCGCCGTCGGGTGGATGAAGACGGGCGGCAGAATGTTGGCCGACGACTTGGCCAGCTCGGGGGAACCCTGCTGCTGGGCCTTTTGCAGGTACAGCGCGTTGGCCGGCACGGCGGAGCCGGCCGTCTTGATCTGGCGCCAAAAGTCCTTGGTCTCGTAGACGAAAAAGTGCTTCGTGTCGGCCATGTCGGAGAGGATGTCCTGCTCGAGACGGATGACCTCGTTCTTGCGCTCCTCGTCGTCGTCCTCGTCGTTGTGGAACACGTAGCTGTTCTCGAGGTTCTCCGACGACGGGTACGACACGAGGCGCGAGGGGCGGTCGGCGCGGCGCTTGATGGCCGTCTTGATCGAGGGGAAGATGGCGTCCGTGGCGAAGAGGTAGACGCCGCAGTTGATGAGGTTGCTGACGCGCGTCTCGGGCTTCTCGACGTAGTGAAGCACGCGGCGCGTGTGCGCGTCGCTGACGATGCAGCCGAAATTGGTCGCCGCGTCGTCCGAGACGCGGGTGCCGAGAATCACAGCCTCGGCGTCCTTGTCGTCGAAGAGGGCCAGCATCTCGACGAGGGGGAAGGAGCAGCAGACGTCGGCGTTGAGGACGAACAGCCGGTCGGGGCGGCCCTTGAGGATGGCGTCGCGGAAGTGGTAGAGGCCGCCGGCGGTGCCCAGGGCCTCGTATTCGCGCAGGTATTTGATGCTCAGGCCGGGGAACTCCTTGGACGAGTCCTTGATGAAGTCGCGGAAGACCGTCTCGTCGTAGTAGCCGATGATCAGAACCTCGGAGATCTGTCCATCGGGAATGCGACCAATGGCCGCGAGGCAGTGCCAGATGATGGGATGGCCGGCGACGTCGAAGAGGGGCTTGGGAACGTCAAGACTCAGAGGGCGGAATCGAGTGCCGCGCGAGGGACCGCCGACCTGGCGACGCGAGAAGAGTTAGCCAGCGAGCTCCCTGAAGGGCGCCGAGAGGAAGGAGGAGACAGGTGGTCGCTTTGTACCAAGATGACCGCCTTGGTCGTGGCCGCATCCTGCGTCTTGCCGCGGGTGGGGATCTGCAGAGACATGTCGTCAATGGTGATGGTAGGAACCGCGGTCTGCTGTAGTGGTCGACGGCGGCAGAAGAGCGGGAGGGGTAAAGAGGGAGGAGGCTCGGGTGACGGGTTTCCAGGGTCTGGCCGTCAGGTATGTTGATGATGCAGGCCAGGTGGGAAGATGGTAGGGCGGTGACCACTGACTGACCAGGGGGGCGTGAGCAGCTTCTCTGGTCGAGGCCTCCACTTTTGTGTGTTGGTGCCCCTCGGTAAGCGGGGAATTCGTGTCTTCTGCAGGCGGGAGTGGAATCTTCTGCTTGCCCCTGTGGGAGATGCACAAGATGCACTAACGGCGGGAGATGTGGCGGCTGCAGGGGCAGGCGGGGCATCCTGATGTGAGCCTCCATACCGTGGCGGGCAGACGTGACGGATGTACATAGTACATTTCGGGGAACGCACTCTCCAGATAGGTAGGTACACAACATAGCCTGCTTGGTCCAGTCATGACTGAATGTACTTCTGTTGTTTTTTTCTCCTTTAAAAAACAAAAAGTCAAGTTCATCTTCTAAGCTCTACAATGTCTGATGGAAATGTCAACCTCTAGCAATTGCGAGGTGACAGTATGCAGCAGCACCCCATAACCGTCCACACCCATTGCCCGTTTCACAAGCCGATCGCCATGCCGCCTCTCAGCTTCAACCCCCAAGCTCCCCGCCCACAATCTCCAACGCTTCCGTGCCGAGATGCAAGACGGCCTCGTCACCTGCCGCTCCAGCGACGCGCACGACAGCCACGAGCAGGGGATACAACCGCAGGAGGTGCTTTCTCGTCTCACACTCCACGTTCGGCGAGTCCGGAATGGCCTCGGGCTGCGACTGCAGGGCTACGAGCGCCTCGAGCAGGCGAAGGAGCTCCCGTCGTTGTGAGAGGGGCTGCGGCATACGGCCTCGAAGGGGCTGGTCGGCAATGAAGGCCCGCAGCGGCAGGGCGGCCCTCAGTATGAGGAACGGTGCTGTGGCACGAGCGGTCCGGACATGGAGGCTGCTGATCGGTTCGGGTGCCGGAGGAGGCAGGGTGAGGGCGGGAGGCGGCCAGCGAGGGGTCGGTGGTTGGATGGTGATGGACGGCCCGGGCGTATCCTCGTCGTGCGTGGCGACGAGCGAAAAGAGCTCCTCGAGACAGACGTAGCTCATCTTTGATCGTGCCTTGGCCGCTGGGTCGGACGTGCGGCCCTTTCGCGGCTTATACATCGCGGAGAGGCCAGCACCATCAGCACCGAGCGCCGAATCGCCCGGCGGTGGGGTGTGAATCATCGACGTTCGGAACAGGCTCTCTGCATAGGCTTTGCGCGTCTTGTCGGGAATGACCTCTGCGCCGAGCGAGGGAATAATCAGCTCCCGCAGTTTACGGAACGACTTGATGTCAAAGGCCTCGTCGTCCAGAATATCCGTCTTGTCGGGCGCCGTGTCGCTGTCGGCGCTGATGATGCCGTCAGCAGCATCAACTATCAGCCGCCAAATGTCAGGAATGGTTTCTCTCGGCACGTCGAGCGTGTGTAGATGGGGCAGTGTTCCTTCCAAGACGGCCAAAGTAGAATCAGTTGCGAGCCTCCAGGGTTGGGTAGATTTCGTGACGATGGGGAATCGGTATTTGAGAATGATTGCTTTGGACAGCGCCGACAGTGCTGCCGAAAAGGCCCCACTGGCATACACATCGGCGTCGCCAGCATGGATCAGTACCAATCTTTGCAAGACAGCCATGCTGCCTTTGGACATGGCAACATAGGTGCGCTTGGATGCCCCTTCCCTCGCGGGATCGCGATTGAATGGCAGTCGCACGAACTCGGCGACTTGTGAGATCATGGCCGATGGTACGCCTTCGAGGTCCGTCCGGATTGTCTTGATGGCTTCCAGGACCTGATTCTGGAGAGGCGTCGTGTACTCAACATCATTGACGTACGCGCCCACCGTGGCCCGTTGCAACGCCTCTCGGAACAAGGTCAACATTTGGCGAACCCGCTCGACCGTCAAGTCTGCGCTGACCAATCGGTAAACATCGTGGAACGCGCCTACGTAGGCGGTCAGGCAGTTTTGATTGTCGTTCTTCGTGCCGTCGTCTCCCGCCGCCACAGGGATGCCTCGCGACCATAATTGCCACGCCGTGTCGACGGTACCTTTGCTGAAACTCGACTTGTGGTGGGGCTGTCCCTGGGCGAGGATCTGACCGAGTGCCTTGAAGGTTGCGGTGCTGACGTCTAAGATCTTGAAGTCCAAGAGTGTGGTAAAATGAGCAAGGAGCTCTTGCCACAAGTTGTTGAACGATGGATGCTTCGAGAGAACATTTAGGTACGAGGCTAAGAGCTCGGAAATGCCATTGAGCACGAGGACTGATGTTCCGTGCCATTCCTTCCGATCCTCTTCATCCCCCTCGTTAGCCTTTGGTGAACGAAGTTCGTCTTCGATTGATGACAGAAGCCTAAAAATGACAAACTTGACGCAGGTGAACCATGCCTCTGGGTTCAAATTGTCGCCGTAGGCGTCAAAGATGCGGAGCAGGGTCTGGATGGCGCCTTCACAAGTCAGCACGCTTGAAGCCAGTAAACAAGGGAGGGCACTTACTGTTACGAAGCTCTAAACGATCGTCTGCTGTGACAGTAGTGAGGCGAAGTAACAAAAGCATCCAGAGGGCAGCATTTGACGACTTGTGCTTGGGATTGCCTGCGAGTGCGGCCAGGTCCGATACTTCTGCGCCGTCCATGAGGCTCGTCGTAATTGACATTGGCTTGTTCTTTCCTGAGAGGTGATCCGACAAAACCCAGAAGAATGTCACGGTCTGCGCTTGTCAGTTAAGCCAACTAATAGAACCTCAGGAGAGTAGACATACCGTCAAAGCAATGTTGAGATCGTCAGATTGCGAAGAGAACTTGTAAAGGGTATCAACGAGAATGAGAAAACAGTCGTTTGGGAGTGATGTAAGAAAGTCGGAACAAATGAGCTGCAACGAGCTGAATGATGAACGAACTAGTTTCGGGGATCTTGTTAGGAGTGTGGCCGCCGGTAAATCCGAACGCTTGCGGTTGTCTGGTGCAATCGTTCGGTTCACAAAGATAGAGCCGATGATCTCAAAGGCGATTTCCCACCCGCTAACAAGTGCCTCGCCGCAGTTTTCCAGAAGGCTCTTCAACCCCTCAAGAATGACTTTGTGTATCTCAACATCTGTTGCGTGGTTTGCCACCGAAGTATCGCGATCTTCCTTCTCAAGTGGCCGTAGGGCATTTCGCATCGACTCGAGGACTTGTAGCTGGACAGGACCACGCTCTTCGGGCTCGAGCGTCAAAGCCACGTTGGCTGATTCCAGCGCAAGGTTCACGAGAATCTCCGCAGCTCTCAGGCGGACCGGCGCATTAGCAGTCGTGGAATTCAAGGTCTCGGCAAGTTGAGAAACGAGGGAGCTCCAGCCTGACACATCAGGCGGATATGACAAGAGTCGCTCGATATTGATGGTGGCAATATCTCCAAGTTTGGCCAAAGCGAACTGGTCTTGTTGATTGGGCGCCGAAGCACCAGACGACGGGCCCGCTGCTTTTCGATGTTGGCTCGTTGGCTTCAAAGTAGCGCCGCCTGTGGGCGACTGGGGCCGACTGCCTCCCTCTGTTTTGTCTTCGGCATTCGTATTTAGGAGAGCGCAAATCGCATCGACGACCTGTATGAATGCGTCGTTGGGGAAGTCAACCGTGCTTTCAATTAGACGTGATGCTGCCGTCTCAACTGCCTTTGTTTCTGTGCCAAAGTTGACTACTAGCGAGTTGGAATCTCCTTCGACTTGATTGTCTTGACCCCGAATCGCGGTTGGTGTCCTCGACGGTGTCTTGTGAGTTGAGAAGAGCACAAAGTCGGCCTGTTGAAGTGTTGCTAGTATGATGCGCCATGATGGCCCCAACGTAGGGCCCAAAGCAATGCCAAGATTTAGCAGCGCCCGGAGGCAAAGCAAATTTCGGGTTGTGAGAGTGGCACCGCTGGCGTCAACTGAGGGCTGACGACCTCTTTCCGCTGCCGAGGAGCCTTGTCCGACTAGACTGTCCACACTGAGCAATCCCTTGGCGTTGCTGAGAATACTGTTGTGGGATGTACTTGATGCATCGAAACTAGGGGTACGCGCGTTGCTGCCGGCGTTTAGGCAAGCAGTGAACACATTGGGAGGCACCGCGGCCTTTCCGAGCGTCGTAAGAAAGGCATCTCGTGGTGTTGACAATTGAAGCAGGCCAGCAACATGGGCAAACTTCTGGAACGCCCTGACCAGACTGTGGTAGTATTCGGAATCTAGCGCCGCGTAGAGGAACGTCGAACAGGTTGCGAGAATGGCGGGCCAGCATTCGTCTACAATCGCAGCACAAATCTTGACTTCGGCGTATAATGGATGGTCTTCCAATGTGAGGGGGTTTCGAGGCACTGGGTTTCTCTTGAAAGACCCAGCTCGCTCAAGATGACCTCGAGGACCGAGTGCATGAGGAGAGTCTTCTGCATTTGGTGCCGGGGATTCTCGCCCGATGTCTTGCCTCATGCTTCTCTTTCGGCTTCTCCCCTCTGCCGAAACTGTCAGGGGCAGGATGAACTTGGCCAGCCCTTCTGAGAAGGACGAGATGCAGGACAAAGTAAGACTGTAAATATACGACTCCGGGATGGATGGCGGCTCCGTCTTGTCCAGCTGATCAATGCAAGGGACTCGCATGTTGCTCCATTGAGAGCTGATTCCGGTGTTGGAGCCTTCAGATCCGCCCGAGCCGCTCATGATACCGGTGACGCCACCTGTTTCCAGAACGACCTGGTCAGCAGTCGCGCCGGAATGGGCATACGGATTCGCCACGGGCAAAGTTGACTGATGGCCCAGTCCGATGACCGCAGGTTTTTCGGTACTTATCCGGACAAAGGTTGCCGTCAGCGTCTGGAGGATGTTTTTCTCGCCTTCTCTGGCATCATAAAGCATGAAGATCCGGCGGAGGAGAGCATGTTCAGAGAAAATGCCGCGGAAGACCTCCATACAGAGAGCTCGTTTCCACAGAGCCGTGTCCTGGTCCAGCAAGTGAGTGAGAATATCCAACGCATCTCCACCTTCCGTTGGAAGGATATTGAGATGTCGTCGAAGGAGGGTATACAGAATGCGTACGAGTCGCACCGAGGTCGCAAAGTTTGGCCTGTCCTTCAGGGCGCTGATGATGAACGGCATGACCCGGCTCTGAAGAATGAACGCCTGTTCCGGGTGGCTGACGAAGATCGCCGCATGGTTCGTCAGAACAGATTCTATCAGCTCGAGGCCAAAGGTCTGCGGCAAAGCAGACAGCCTGAGATACTCAGGTCGCTGGTTTTCCGTCATGAGGCACAGGTCTTTGAAGATCTATGTCGATCAGTACAGGTACAGTTCACAGCGCCGTGAAGGTCGGGGAGGGTCCTACTGACTCTATATGCATCAAGGGCTGCTTCGCGAAGCGGGATGTCTGCGTCCGCTGTAGGAGCCTCGCCTGCTGGAGGGCCATCGGCGTCTGCAGTTCCTAGCACCTAGTCAGTGTTGTCGCATGAACATGGTAGTTGAACATACGATCTTCGGTGACCACCTTATCGAATACGGAGACCACAAGCTGCTGCAGCGTCGCAGCTGAGGTGTTGTTGACGATGGCATTCTTGCTAGTCTGTAGGATGAAGCAGATATTCAAGGCTGTGACCAGTAAGTCGCCCTTCACATCCCCAGCGTAGTTCTGTAGCAGCGTGGGTAGAATTTGCAGAATTTTGAGCTGCACATCGAGTCCAGCAGACGTGGCCTCCCTCAAGGCCTCAAGGACATGACTGAGCTTTCCTCTGGGTAAGGCCCGGACAAGGATGAGCCGTTGGAGACAGACGATGGCGATGGCGGTGAACTTGGTATTCTTAGTGCCGCAAGCAATGACGAAGGGGTTGACAAAGTTGGGCCGTTGCGTGAGTTCAGCTATGGCTTGGCCCTCGTTGGATGCTTTGTTGGTGATGGCTTTGAGCTCCTCGAGAGCTTTCTCGGCTGCCTGCCGGAGGTCGGTATGTTTTCGCTTGCTCTCTGAGATGAGGTTCGCGAGCTCCGTGGCAAGCAACTGGGTCGTCATTGTGTCATGAGCTGAATTCAGCTTGGCCCATCTTTCGGACCAGCTAATCCGGGAATCAAGTCAGTGTTCACGTCGTCGATGGTGGATTGTATCGCGCCAGCATGACGATGCAGTAGCTGGTGTGACAGATGGAAGGGACAGGCGATGGTGAGAGCTGTCACCTTGAATGCTGAGTCAGCATCATTGAGCGTCGTCGCTGGGGGCACCAAGGTGCGTGCTCCCCACCCGGGCCACCCCAAGTGCCCCGCGATTGTCCCATGTCAAGGTAGGTACCTCAGTAGAGCCAACCCACCTGCGTCTCAGACTGTTTGTCCCGCGCCAGACGAAGCACTGCCCCTCATCGGCATCATCAGTCACAGCAAACCACACTGCCCACAACTCCAAGCCGAATCTGGCCCCAATACCCAAGCCTTTGACCGATCACAAGGAGCGACATCATGAGCGCCAAGGTACCTAGGAATTTCCGTCTCCTCGAGGAGCTCGAGAAGGGCGAGAAGGGCCTTGGAGCAGGTAGCCGCAAGTCTACAATCCCCTTGGCATGTGGCGCAAGTTTGACTGACACCGAATGTAGAGGCCTGTTCCTATGGTCTGAACGACAACGAGGACCTGCTCATGTCTGACTGGAACGGCACCATCCTCGGTCCTCCTCATGTAGGTCCCGTTTTCCCACACTCGACCGCTTCTTCGGCGTCACACAACCTGCTCCTGCCCCTGCCCCTGCCGCAGCGCCTCCACTGACATGTTTCCTCGGCAGAGCGTCCACGAGAACCGCATCTACTCCGTCAAGATGCACTGCGGCCCCAAGTACCCCGACGAGCCCCCAACGATCCAGTTCATCAGCCAGGTCAACCTTCCCTGCGTCAACCCGCGCAACGGTGTCGTCGACCCCCAACAGCTGCCGTGTCTCGCGCAGTGGAAGCGCGAGAACACCATGGAAACGGTCCTTATCGAGATCAGGAGGTACATGGCGTCGCCCTCCAACAAGAAGATCCCTCAGCCTCCCGAGGGCGCCTGCTACGAGTAGCGCAAGGAATACACAGTCAGGCGTGTGATGACAGGAGACGAGTCAATGATCATGAGTTGATATACCTTTTTTGCCTGTTGGCCAGGCTCCACCGCTCGATTCCTTGTGCCTGAGGTCGAGAAAACGTTGATTTCCGTCCCCTGACCAACTTTGCCTCTTTCCCCAGTGACTTTCATGGGCAGTGTCAATTTGACTCCAGCCTAGTTACTAGCAGGATCGTGACAATTTTGTTCGGCTGAGGAGGATTGGAGCAGGCGTCACTAGGACATACAACGCCATCCCCAAGATCAAATCTGGCAGCGTCTGGAGGCTCCCCTACGTCAAGAAAAACTGAAGCAACTTTTGAGTCTTCTTAGCGCCGTCTTGCCACGGGTATGAGCTGGGTCGGGCGCTGGCCTGGCTCAACCAAGAAAGCAAGCTACTTCCTGATGCATTCTAAGCCATGTGAACTGGCCTGCTTTGCGCTCCGTGACCCGCGCTTCGTCCTCAACATGGAATACCCCGGTTTCAAATTTTATACTGCCAAAAAGGGAACCCTATAAGTCCATGGAAAGGAAGTCGCTCTAGGCAGAGCTGGGGTCGTACATGGTTCACGCCGTCGACGCACACTCGCCGTCTTGGGCGAGGTGTCAATCGGTGTGTCGGCAAATTATCGGTAGATCCGCCAAGCAGCTGGAGTTGCGACCCCGGTTTTTCCCATGTCATCACTCTCGACACCTCAGCAAGCGCTGCGCTGACTGCCTAATGCCAAACACCCTCAGCTTTGCGACCACCAATGCAACAAAGATGGCCTCGGCAATGACCAAGGCGGCCCTCACCCCGCCCCTACGACGGGCTCTACTCCAGTCGAGGAGCTTCCAGACGAGCTCGAGGAACCTCATCCCCTCTGCCTTCGGTGCCAGCGCTGCGGCTGGCGGTGTTCCTTCCTACTTCCAGAAGCCGTCGCTCCCTGCAAACACGATCATCCGGTTCGTACCGCAACAAACAGCATGGATCGTTGAGCGCATGGGAAAATTCAACCGGATCCTGGATCCTGGTCTTGCCGTTCTGGTCCCCTTCATCGACCGCATCGCATACGTGAAGTCGCTGAAGGAAAACGCCATTGAGATCCCCAGCCAAAGCGCCATCACGGCCGACAATGTCACACTCGACCTCGACGGTGTGCTCTACACACGCGTCTTTGACGCATACAAGGCCAGGTACTGTCACACTAGTTTCAAGCGAGCTCCTTGCGATCCCGTACTGACCTCACTACGTACAGCTACGGTGTCGAAGACGCCGAATACGCCATCTCCCAGCTGGCGCAGACGACGATGCGCTCCGAAATCGGCCAGCTGTCCCTCGACCACGTCCTCAAGGAGCGTGCCGCCCTCAACACCAACATCACCGCCGCCATCAATGAGGCTGCTCAGGCGTGGGGCGTGACCTGCCTGCGTTACGAGATTCGCGATATTCACGCCCCCGATGGCGTCGTCGAGGCCATGCACCGCCAGGTGACGGCCGAGCGCTCGAAGCGTGCCGAAATTCTCGACTCCGAGGGCCAGAGGCAGTCGGCCATCAACATTGCCGAGGGTAAGAAGCAGAGCGTGATCCTCGCGTCCGAGGCTCTGAAGGCCGAGCAGATCAACCGTGCGTCCGGTGAGGCCGAGGCCATCTTCATGAAGGCCAAGGCCACGGCGGCGGGTATCGAAGCCGTCGCGAAGAGCATCGCCGAAGGCGAGGAGGCCTGCACAAGGTGCCGTCAGCCTGTCCGTGGCGGAGAAGTACGTGGATGCCTTTCGGCAAGCCTCGCCAAGGAGAGCACGGCCCGTCGTGGTGCCGGGCATGTGGCGACATTGGTAGCATGATTGCCACGGGCCTCAGCGTCTACGGCAAGGTCAGCCAGACCCAAGCGAGGACAGTGGCAAAGCAGATTATCGCCAACGAGAATGATGGGGAGGCCGAGGCCGATGCGCCAAGGAATCTGAAGAACACGGTTCTCGACAGCTTCGACAAGGCGGCCAACAGGAGCTAAGTATAGCGTGGTGATCGTGGTCTTCAGTCAGCGCACAGATAGGCGTTTGGAGCGACCGAAAAAAATGGGAAAGCTGGGCGGCAGTCTCAGTTTTGAATTGTATCAATGTGTTGTACATTACTAGGTACCCTTTACTCATACAATACGGGCACCGCGCCCATAGATTTGCTCTGCCATTTGAGAAGCCCATTACTGTCTCGCTTCTTTATTCGGCCAAGCTCATGAGGGTTCGCTCAGTGCATAGCGATATCCACGGCCCGAGAGGCTGCGCGCTTGCTAGACAGCCCCCACAAGGTGCACGATGACATGGGTAGGTACCTACCTAAGTAGGTAGGTAGGTAGGTGCGCAACCTATCAGGGGCCCGCACGATTTGAAGAAGGAAGTCGCAAGAATGTCGCTGCCGTCTAATGGTTCCTCTGTCTACTTCCTCCATAATGTCCTGTTTCCATTACAGAGGGGGTACCTAGACATCTTCAGTCTCCACGTCGTCTTCTGTTCCCTCCACATCCTGCCCTTCGGTATTCCCTCAGGTATTCCCCTCTGAGCTGTGTATCCCCAATTCTTCCGCCATTACAATACTGCTGATGATGACTTCTAGGAAATTTGTTGTGTTGTACATGAACGCCGTCGTATGAAGTTCGTCATGTCCTTCCAAAAAGATGCAGAACGACTCTCGCCTTCGCTTTCGCCACCAATCCCTCCCGTTCGTTTGCCGCCACTTTTGTTCAGCTCGTGACAACAAACTACTAGGGGCCATATCGAATTCTGACAAAGGAAAATAAAGGTCCTGACCAGGGGTATCAAAGAAGTTGCTCCATCACACGAGTCCACTCCTCAACCGTCGTCACCCCACCATCCCACTTCCGGTCCAGCTCGGCCGACGGCACTTAGCCGAGCAGCCTTCTTTCTCCCCATTTCGGGCACATCAAGTGCTGCTGCAGACATTATTTGTCTCTCTTCCATGTTCTCTTCGACATCTCCCACCATGCTGGCCCGTTCCGATCGTGACAGCGGGCTTTTCGACTTGCTGGGAGCCGAGCTGGAGGAAGGTCGACTTGCCTCGCCCGCTCGACGGCGCTGGCTGCTGGCGCGACTAGCTGAGAGTCGTCCGGCCTCCACCCGATTTCGGCTTTCGTGGGAGTAAAGGTAATCTTCGCCCGTCTTCTCATCCTCTTCGTCGCTTATGCCGTCAAAATCCATAAAGTCGCTCAAGTCAGGGCTCGGTTCGGCTAGATCCATCGAGGTCACATTGCGTTTCGGCCTGTCAAGATACAACAGCACTCGTTCATGCCGCCCCTCGTCATTCGCTGAGGGCGGGCTGTCTCCGGCGAACCTGGCCTTCTTCAGACTGCTAGCCTTGGACGCCGGTGCCGAACCACTGCGCGATGATGACGATCTCGTTGCAGTGCCGCCCGAGCTTCGTTGGCGATATCCGTGCTGCTTGCTGGAGTTGCTGGATTCTCGCTTCCTGTCGGAGCCTCGACTGTCCAACTTGATTGTGCCGGTCGACGTGCCGGAACCCTGATGCCGCAGCGTCTGCGTCGGTTCTGGGTAGGCTGAGCCTTTGATCGTTGCTTGTGAAGAAGTATGCTTGTGGCCGTACCCATGGGCTTGCTGGCTTTCGCCTTCGAATTCCGCCATCAGCGTCTCTCGCATCATGGCACGTTTCGAGCGGAGAGCTGCCAGCAGCATCTGTTCCTGGCGGGTGACTGCCATGAGTCTGGGGTTCTGACTGCTGCTAGCGTCTATAGAGCTCTCAGGCTCGACGCAGAAGTCGAGTGATGTAGGGCTGAGCGGAGGCGTCGGTTGCTCTCCAGAGCGCATCGAGGTTTTCCTTCCAGACAGCTTGCCCTCAGGCGAGCTTCGAGGCTCGCTGGCCAACGACTGAGATGTTGACGCTACTGGCCGAACCATGACAGCTTTCGCTTCCTTGACCTCGAAACCAGTCTGCGCTTGCCAATCCGAGTTCGTCGTCGAAGCTGACATGGTAGAGATTCGGGATGACGCTCGGCTGGAGGGTGAACGTTGCAAGTGCTGCTGTTGCTGTTGTAGGTTGCCTCTGTGCAGTGAGCTGGTCCTCAGATTGACAGACGTAGGTTTGGCTGCCGGTGTAGAAGTGGGGATGGTAAGGTACGTTGGCGTCAAAGCGAAGCTCGCACGCTTGCCAGTCTTCTTCTCTGACCCACTGGCTACAGACTCACCGCGAGATGCAATCGACTTTCTCGAAGTGGTGGTTGGGCTTGTTGGCGTGTCTCTTGAGGCCCGCCCAAAACTCGACACGGACTGCGTTGATCTCGATGCAGTTTCAACAAGACTATCATCCTCCTCCGAGTCAGAAGATAACGACAAGACACTTCGCTCCTGTCTATCGGAATCCGCAAGACTCTGATTCGTGTGCTTCGACGCTTTTGACGTCTTCGTATGACGGCTGGATACGCTAGCAAAGCTCGAGGCGTAGTCGTTGTCGGCGACTGACGCCTGTGGTACAGACGAGAAGGCTCGAGCACACTGCACTTCAGCACTGCTGTTTGCCCCGTGTAAACCAGGGGCTGCGGTCAGCGGCTCTTGAATGATAGGATTCGCGACGTTGTTCCGTGGATGTGATGGTGATTTAAGGGGTGTCGGCCCCACAGGCGCCTGCGGAAAGTCTGGTATATCCATCTTTTCCTCTTCTCCTTCAGGCGATTCCATGAACTGACGGAAAGTAGCTTGCTCGTAGTGGTCGTACAGGTCCCTGGGCGAATTCAATCCGTGACCGGGCACACTTCTTTGACTGCTCGACCCAGTCGTCGGCCGTTGTGCGACGACTGTTTCAGCAAGGCGCTCCTTCGTTGGCTTCCTGAGGAGCCTCTTGGTGTGTCTTTGCTGATCTGGTGATGGTGTTGCAGGCGAAATTGAGGTTGTTGAGGGAGACTTAGTCACGTAATCGTGTCCGAGCGTACTGCGCGGAGAGGACTCCCCGTACTGGCTTTCTCGACGATGTCGGCCAGGCATGAGGTGCGACAGGTCCAGTCTGCTTGGTCTTTTTGATTTTGATGTCGTTGATGCTGTCGAACTGACGTTGCCGTGGGTATCTGCGTCCAGCAATGCACTCGCCTTTGAGGGCAGCCCTTTGGCCATGGCGGAGGCTGATGTTTGTTGCGAGATGGACAGAGGCATCTTGGCCTTGTCATACCATGATCGAAGCGTCGAGTTTGACTGCCGTCTCCTCAGACTTGACGTTTCAGACATCAAGTCTCGAATAGTGCCATCGCCGTCTGGCAATCTCGAGTTGCGACCCGATCGCAGATATGCCGGCACCGTTTCCGACTCCAATTCCCATCGCGCATTACTTCGGCCTTTGCCAACGTATTCCTCCTCTTCGCCGACTGTCTGCAGCGCTCGATCATTAGTGTAGTAGCTCGTAGTTGCGGTGCTTTCGGATATGGAGATGCTAATTCCCGAATTCGACATGTCGTCCCATTGCGGTGCGTCGATGTTGAGTTCAGCCGTGCCCAGAATCTTCTGTGCTTTTGACATGGGCCCCGACACGATGGGCCCGATGCCTGGCTTTTGCTTCTTTCCCGGGATGGGGAATGTGAACTTGGACGTCTTCCCCATTGTGTCGGTCGGGTCTGGGTACCTCTGGCTGTCTCCAGTGCCCTACGTTCTCCTGTCAACAATGCTGCCCGGGGCGAGGAATGCCGAGGAGGCGAAAGATACTCCTTAACACTGATTCTCTGATGCATTGGAAGCTCATAACAGATGAACAGCAGGTACGTCAGGGGTGGGAGGGGTTACCTTGTCGAACCTGTCGGGGGCCTAAAGGCTATTGATTTACCCAATCTCGTGGAACACACCACTCCACCTCCATTCGATTGCGGGTTCAGCTGTGTTTGTCGCAAGTCGTTGTTGTCGCAGGCAGACGTCGTGGACGGAGGGAAGTGGGTGTAACTTGGGTGAAGAGTCGGTGAAATCGAAATGTCTCACAAGGCCATTTCTCTTGCAGATCGGCGAGCAGAACCGGAGAGTCGCACAGGATAGCACTGGGGCTAACGAGTAACACAAGCACCCGGCAAGCCACGGTGCGATTCAGCTCTCCACCTCAGTGCCGTCTCATCGATCGGGCCGGGAAAAGCAACCCAGTTCTGCGAGGCAAGAAGGGCAGCACTGCGTTCGTGGTCTTCAACAAATCCACGTGGCGCGAGAAACGAGAAAGGGGGGTCGGGCTGGAAAGCAAGTGGCCTGCGGTTCATCTCCCAGACGGCACAAGCACGATGATATGGGAAGAAGACGTGCAGTCCTCCCAGCATGTTGACGTCTCGCAGTGACGGTCAACCTGAACCTTACATATTGGGGCGCTTTTCGGGGGGGAATCTGCTCCCCTCGTGTCCCTTGGCCTGTTTCTCTCCATAAGCCCCCATCACCCACCAGATCCGGCCGGGAAGTGCCTGACTTGCAGCAAGAAAGTGGGAACAATTGTACCTGCTGGCAGGGGTGTCAGGACGATGCCTTTGCAGATCCCTGCACAGGTCTGTGAAAGTGGAAACTTGAGCAGGATGGGACAAGCGGGACGACACCGATGCCGACCCACCACCCGCCGAGAAACCCTTCGTCTGGAAAGCATCCATCGTAAGAGGCGGCGAACAGCCGGTTACGACGCTGGCACTTCAGCTGGTGATGCCGGGTCTCGCTAGGCGTGACGCCATGGACATGACGGCGTTGGTTTGCTGTGCGCCCGAGCGAACGAGCGCCCGAGCAAACGCCGTGTGAGACTGAAGATGACTACTGCTCTCCTCTCCCAAACCGGCCCGGACAGGCCAAATGATCGGCTGGTCTGGTTCAGCACCTTCAAGCGCAGAACCCTCACTTGCCTCAGTAATGAGGATGGGCGTTCTGCTGTCTTCATAGACAGGGACCAAAAAGTGCAGGTGACTATCGGCAAGGAAGGCAAAGACCCCTGCTGAAATCATTCGTGCACAGTTCCAGCAGCCTTGGCAGGCGTCGAATGAGGGCGAGCCAGCTGGTCCCTACTAAAAGGCAAAGCGGACAGCGAGGTCTCGCGGGCGGAGATACTGGGCAGCCACTGGGATGTAGCACAGAAAACCCCATCTCACCAAAGATGGAAATGACGGGGCCCGCCCGCAGGGGTGCGAAGTGGATGGATTTCAGGCCAGTCGACCTTTTGCGAATACTTCAAATGATCTATCGATGCTTGCCAGGCAATACTCTCCCCGTTCCCATCTCACCAAGAGAACATTCAGAAAAGGGAAGGGGTTCTAGGGAGCTTGGGCGTTCGGCCTGGCATTCGATAGCTTCTGGTGTTTGGTGCGCAAACATCGACCCAGTTGTAGCTAGACCTGGGAACGGCACCAAGCTCGGCCATCACACGACGCCTAGCCCCCTGGGCGGGGTCTGTCTCGGGCATCCACAGCTTCACTCGCTTGGTGTCTCAGGAACCGTCCAGGGACCAGCCAATGGAGCAGGTCCTCCTTCAAGCGACATCAGACATCGTCAACGACACGACGGGCGCGTGAAACGGGGTGCGGCCCCCGTACCGCGGTTACTCGGAGGGGCGACATTGGGAGGTCAGTCGACGAAGGAGGAATGACTAGGATGCACCCCTCACGAAAGCCGCCGTCGCCATTCTCGCACAAGCCTTGTCCGAAGCGTCCCATCATAAACTTTCAGGCGGAGCTCACGGAAGGGCGGAAAAACAAATGATCGTGGCAAGCCGAGTCGTAGGAAGACCGCATTTGGGTCTTTCTCCCACGACTTGGACTCGGCGCCGGCTGGTTTGTCCCAGTCCAGGCCACGCCAGGCACACTGGCCTCTTCCCTGGACTTCTAGGCTCGGGGGGAGGCTTACCATGTAGAGCTTGGGGCTCGGGGTGGGGAGAGAGATACATGGAGGTCCCGGTGATTCGGAACACGCAAAAGAAAGTACTGGAACCAGCTGCTGTCGCCGCCACTGTCGTTGTCGCATTCGCCGGGCGATTCACAAATGGACTCTCTGTCTCTTGTGTCCGACTCATGACAGCTGTCGACGAGCAGCCGAAATGGGCTCACGGACATCCAACCTGGGGGCAAGACTGGATGGCAGGATTGCCTGCCAACCGTCACTCGGACAGCCGCACTCGCTCTCAGACCTTCCTCAAGAACCAGTCATCGCCAGGGCGAGTCGTCCCCCCTATTTGGAGGGTTGACTCGCGCAACTGGCCGCCCCCAATCACACGACGAGGGCTTCAATCCGCAAGCCAAGCATCATGGTGGCTCTTGCCTGTTTTCGGCCCCGTTGACGGCCTTCTCCTTTCGGGCTTCGGCTGCTGCTCCGATCGATCAGGGTTTGTGAGTACAGCATGCAAGCAAGCAGACGGGCAGGCAAATGAGTAAACAAACGGCAGGTGCTTCATCAATGGTAAACAGCGGCGGCGGCCTTGTCGATTGAATACGGAGTTTCAGCCCAGATGAAGGACGCATGCCTTGCAGGTGGCTGTAAATCGGTCCGCGCGCCCTTGGTTGCAGCGGCCGGCCAAAAAGGGACAGCGAAAAGCCACCGAGAGATGGACAGCCTGCCAGCTCCAGCTCCAGCTCCAGCAGTACATGTAACAGGAGCACCATCACCTGCCTGGAGAGATGTGATTTGCATGTGCATCGGCGGGCGTTCTGGGGTTACAAAACCCTTGTCAGCTCGAACCCTCCCATGTCCACGCATTATGACTAGCCCCTGCTGCCCCCCCTGGACCCCATTTCTCATCGCTCCCCTGTTCTCCTTGACAGGTGCTCCCCCGCTGGCACCGACTCCTCTTATTATTGCTTTGAAGGACCCCATGGTGAAGCCTCAGGCGTGCTTGGAAGGGGGTTTGAGATGATGGGTATCTGTAAGCGGCAGGGATCGATCGGCTCACGAACCATCCAATTCAATAGCGTCGCCAGAGGAGATGGAGAAGTCCCCTCCGCAATGCGGTCCCTTGCCTCCTGTGCCTCTGTTTGCGTTAACGTGGTAGTGATCATCATGTTCCATGCGACTGAGCAACAGAACGGCGAATGAACGGCGATTCAACGACGCGCCGCTCGCCAACCGTTGGTCATTGCGCATCGCCCATCCGTGCTGTCATGTCAGGTGGAGGAGGAAGACACACGGGGAGCAGCACGTTCGTCCAGGTCACAAGTTCCTGGGCAAGCTCGTCGACGGTTGACTAAGAACTGGGTGCATCACGAGCACGGTCACTCAAGAGTGGGCAGAGGAGGAAGAGGTGATGGGAAATCACACTCCGATCGCAAGCGAGCCTTGCCTGTTACGTTGCGTATACGCGAGTATCGTCAGGGAGGTAGGTTGTCGTCAGGTACTCGCCCCCCTGTACACGATCGGATAAATGACGAACAGCGAGCGCTCAAAGCTAATGGGCGAGGAGTCTTGTTCCATGTCTCACTCAAAGTACTGACCAGCAGCTCTGTGGTCAAGAGACATGGGAAACGGTTCAGTGGCAGGTCTTTCTCCTTCGGCCTCAAGAGATGGTTTAAAACAACGCACGATCGATCACATCTCGCCCAGGGCGCTGGGTTGATCGGGTTCCGATTGATTTCGGCATGTCGGGCGTCCGGTGAGCCGAACACAGATGGCGAGGGCGCGAGCCATCAAGTCGCCTACGCGGCCTCCAACCACCATTGGCGTCCTTATGATGTGATGCAACGCAGCGGGCGCCTGTAGTCCATCCCCTCCCGAACCTCCAGGACGAATTTGTGTGCGGGGTTCGTACCGTTCTCAAAATAATATAACGACGAGACCTGATATGGCCGACTGACTTGTGCTGGCTCAATCACTGGCTGGCTGTAGGTACTATCCAGCCGGCTTGGTTGCTACCGTAGCAAGCGAGATGGTCTCTGGCGGGCAGACACCAGACGGAAAAAGTCAAGCCAGCTCAGCCAGCGTCCAAGCTAGCCTTTCGGTCCTCGGGGCAAATGTAACTCGGATTCCGGTCAAAGAATCCTGCGACCGCCAACTCAGCCCCCGACTCTACACGCCACGCTCACCCACTCATCAACGTCGTCGGGGAATCTTCACCGGCCGGAGGAAGCATTGCGCACAATCGAGGCGCGGAACCTCCGGTAGCGACATGGACAACGGCATCGGCCTCGGGCCCGGCGTCGCGGCAGCGGCCCACGAGTTTGGGCATGGGAACGGACACGCGCACTGATTCTCCAGACCAACAGCAGAGCGAGAACACCATTGACGACGGCGCCTCATCCGAAGCTGCTCTCGCCTGCAACTGCTGCCGCAAACGCAAGCTTCGGTGCTCTCGCGAGGTCCCAACATGTCAGCAATGTCGCAAGACGGGTGAGTCGCTCGGATGATCGTCATTTCATCTCAGCTCGTCTCATCTGCCAATTGCTGCCCCCCCCCCCCCCCTCCCCCTTCCCTTCGGAATGTCATGCGCCATGATTCAGTACTAATCACCTTGTACGTGTGCACAGGAAGTGAGTGCATCTATGAGACCAAGAGGGCCAAGCCCGGCATGAAAGCTGGCGCCATCGAGAACCTACACAGACGACTTGGTGAGACAGTATGGCCATTTCCTCAGTACTGCGCAGTGTATTCTTTGCCATTGATTGTCTGGCCTCATTATTCACATTCAATCCGCGCCCCTAGATGCCCTCGAACGCACCATCAGTCAACAGGCATCGCGACCGCCCGAGCGTGATCCAGCACCAGCTTCTCTCGCGGCGCCGCCATCAGGTGATGCGCCACGTTCAGACGGCGACAGGAACCCCTATGATATTCTCTCCTTCTTCGCCAGAGAGCTGCAACGCTTCAACAATGAGAGACCAGACGTCACTCCACCGCAGCCGCCACGTCACGATGAACGCCGACCGCCGCAGCCGCGAGCGAAGAGGCGACGCGGCGATAGCAGCGAGGACATCCGAGTGCCCATTCGTCTCAACGTGCCCTCGCTGCCTGACGGCGATGTCTTGGACGGCGTCCTCCGCGCCTACTTTGCCCACGTGCACCCTTGGATCCCCATGATCCACGAGGGTCGGTTTCGCCGCCGCCTCGCTGAACCCGACGAGCACCCCCGACTCCACGTCATCCTTCACTCCATGATCCTTGTGGCATCGCGATATATCGAGGACGTCAACTCGGCCGTCGCACTGACTATGTCTCGCGAGAGACAGGAACAGGTCAGGGACTGGATCATTGCGCAGGCCATGAGAGACTTGTCGGTGGAGAACTTGCAGGCACTGACCATGGTCGCGTTCAACGATGTATGTGCGGGTTTCTTTGATCCATGTACCGGCCGTGAAGCATTGACACCTCTGCTGACGAGTGACGCAGATTGGAAATGGAGAAGGGTCGCAGGCCTGGTCGCTCATCGGATCGCTGACGCGGACCGTGGAATACCTACAGCTGACCATCGAGCATGAAGACATGGAAAGGCTGTCGCTGACCCAGCCATTTGCGTCTCTGGCGCCAGCGCAGGACTGGACCGAGACGGAGGAGAGGCGGCGCGTGTTCTGGAACGTCTTCAACCTGGATCGGTTCTGCTCCGTGACCATGGCCTGGAACACGAGCCTGACCTCCGACGACGTCAACCGCCGGCTGCCGTGCGACGGCATCACCTGGCGCAAGGAGGACCCCGTGCAGACGCCCTATTTCGGCATCTGGGACAAGGGAGCTGGCCGAATCGGTAACCCCATCGCCTTCTTCCCGTCGCACTACGTAGCGCCGTCGTCGTCGTCGCACGTCAAGGACGAAGAGATCCAGACGCCGTCGGAGACGGGCGCATCGCCGGCCCGGGGGACCAGCGGCGGCCATCGACATGTCGGCGGTCGGCGCCTTTTGCCTACAGCATCGAGGCGACCGAGTCCCTGAGCCGCGTCAACTCGTACTTCCTGCAGCAAAAGGTCAACATGCGGGATCACCGCGACCTCACGAGCTGGCTGACGCGGTTCAAAGAGATGGACCTGCGGCTGGTGCACTGGAAAATGTTTCTGCCGCAAAAGTGGAAGGCCAACATGGCGCGGCAGTCCTCACGCATGGATCCGAACCTGACGCTGGCCCATGTCACGCACAACGCCTCCATGATTCTGTTGCACCAGGTCATGGCCTTCCCACCGCCCGAGTGGTCGTTTCGCAATCGGCTGCCGAGCATTCTCAGCGAGGACACATGCAAGGCGGCCGCCGTGGAAATTGCCACCATAACGCAGAACTACCTGAAGAACGCGCCGCCCACGGTGCCCGTCTCGAGCGCGTTCGCGTTTTGCCTCTACGTCGCCGCCAAGGTGCTGCTGTCCAAGTGGCGCTACACGACCCGCGAAGACCTGGCACCCGACTTTTGGTCTCTCGTCCAGAGTCTCGAGGAGATCGCTGGGTCGGACCCCACGGCCTCGACAACGGCCGCGTGTGTCTCGCCGCCAAGTACTCGCAGACGCTGACCGAGTCGTACCGCCGCGTCGTACCGCCGCTGCGTCAGCGACGAGCACTTTCGCATCAGCGGCCTCGGCTACACGAATGAGATTGACCACAGCGTCACCAAAGCGTCGAGGGACGTCGAGGGACACTCTGGCCGCGACCAGCCAGATGGCGCCCCGATGCGACAGCTCGCAGTGCCGACTTCGCATTGTGCACAGGGCACCTCGGGGTTCCGGCCGCCACCGCCTCCCGGGCGTTGCCGTTGTTCCTTCTCCTACCGGACCAGGGGCTTTGTTCGCAGGGCAGCCGGGCATGGCATTGGGGATCGCAGCTGGGCCTGGCGGCATACCCACATCGGCGGTGGCAGGGTCCAACCTCGGGGGCATGGTCAGGCCGGCGTCATATCACCGGGGTGCAGAGATGGGGGGCATCGACCAGGCCTTTGTGAATCAGCAATATGTCGACATGGACCGCGTCATCAGCTATGACGACGGCATATTTGGAACCGACTATGAGGGCGGAGGCTGGTGATGTTGGGAGAGACGTGTGGCATTGTATATATCGCATGGCCGTCCTGAGTCGGGGACACAGAGCCTCTGTGTAGAACCGTCTCGTGCCCCTCTCCCTCGGCTGCCTGTCCCTCTCTCTACCTTATTTCTTGACAATCTTCGAGTCATTGCCTCATATGAAGCCCATCTTCATCAGGCGATTGCCAAACTCGACAAGATAATAGTCGCCATATACAAGGCCATGGTTCTTGAGCCTCCGCAGCGCATGCTCGTTGTTGTTCGCCGTGCCGTTTTTCAAGATGGCGTCAAAGGTACGCCCCGGTGCGACGTCTTCGACGACGAGGCTGTCGTCACGACCCGGACCGTCGCCGCGCGCCACGAACCTCGCCTTCTCCGCCGCCAGCGACAAGTCCAGCGTCTCGCGAACGATGCGTACCGCCGCCTCGAAGAAGCGCCGCGACAGCTCGTGCTTGCCGATGGCCGCCAGCGACTGCGCCAGCACGAGCAGGCCGTTGGCGGCGATGACCCCGGCCGAGGTGTCCCGCAACGGCCGCCCCTCGCCGTCGTCCTCGAGCGGCGCGTCAAAGTCCCACAGCGGCACGTACCGCCCAGCCGTTCGTCCGCCGCCGATGGCCGCATCCACGGCGGGCGGCGCGCCGTCGAGGCGTGCGAGAAAGTGCTCTGCGAGCCCGCAGGCCGCGGCCAGGAAGACGGCGTCGCGCGTCCAGGCGTAGGTCTGCGCGTAGCCGAGGACGGCCCAGGCCTGGCCGCGCGCCCAGGTGCTCGTGTCGCTGTAGCCCTGGGCCGTGCGGCGCCATCGTACGGCGCCCGTTGCCGGGTCGAGGTTCGCCACGTGGTGGGTCGAAAAGAGAGGGCCGGCGTAGGCTTTGCTGCTGCTGCTGCTATTCATGGATGGCGGTGGCGTCGTCGGGGGTTCTTGTCGAAGATGCGTGCGCAGCAGGGTCCGCGCATGCGCTGTCGCTACAACGGCGAGGTCGGGCCGCGCGGCGTGGGCGGCGGCGTAGTAGAGCAGGTCTAGGTTGCACATGCTGTCGATGATGACGAACATGGACGAGGCGCCGTCGCTCACGGACACGGCCTCGCCGCTGCCGCCACCGTCGCGGTCTCGCCGGGCCAGGACGTCCCAGCTGCGGATGGCGGCGGCGCCCGGTTCGTAGCGCGTGGCGAGCGAGTCGGCGGCGGCGACGAGAGAGGCGAGGCTCGCGGCGTCGTGGGTCAGTTCCCAGGTGCGGCGGAGCGCCGGCATGAGCATGAAGCCGAGGTCGTGTGTGTCGGTGCGCGACGACAGGGCGTGAAGCGGCGCCGACCAGAGCGACGTCTGGCGCGCGAGCGCGGCGCGCAGCAGGGCCGGCGGCAGTGACGTGCGCACGTGCTGCGGATACGTGACTGCGCGCTCGAGGAGGGCGGCGAGGTGGCCGGCGAAGAAGCCGCAGGTCCAAAAATCGGCTTCGCGGAGGCTGTAGATGCCGGCGTTGGGGCCCGCCTGGGGCACCGTCTCGGGGAAGCCGATGGGTGACGCTGGTGCTGACGCTGATGCTGCCTGTAGATTCCGCTGGGCCACGCGCAGGGCTTTGGCGGTGACGCTCTCGTCAAAGAGCTCAGGTAAATAGGCGGCCAGATTCTGAGGCGGTGGAGGAGCCGGCTCTGATGCTGGCCGGCTCGTCGAGGACATGGTGTCTGGCGAGTCTGGCGTGAGAGAGCTGGTAGTGGCTTGCATTATGAGTTGTCTTGAATGTCAAACATTTGATTTCAGGGACTTGAGATTTGGAAAGGTCGTGAGCGAGTATCAGACTGAGCAGCTGAGATTGTCAGAGCTGAGGAGGATAGTATAATGAAGCGAGATGCCGCGTTGCGTGTTCTTGTCTGCCGACAGGGAAAGTAAAGTCACAATGTCAGGTGGCACAAAAGTCACAAAGACGATGCTGTAGGTCACCGACTGCTCCCAATGAGAAAAAACTCGTGATGCTGAACCCCGAGGATCCGAGAAGTACGACAGAAACGCGGTTGTGCCCCTCGCCTCGCTCGTCTCTTTTCCGGGTCTCGCATTTCCGAAACAGATTCCGGCCATCGGGCCCAAACATAATCACTGTAAATCAATCTAGACCCTGATGCACAGAGTGCCGACGGGCCATCGATCCTCCTTTTCACCGCTACACTCGCCCCGAAGACCACTGATTCCCCGCCCGTCACACCCGGGAAGACCCAGATTTCCCACGTTGGCAGTAGGTGCTGCAGGGTCTCTGGGTCTGAAGCAGGGCTTTAGCTTGAGGTGTGTCTCGTGCAGGATCCTCAACTCAGCCTGAGAGAGGTCGGGCTATCATTTAGGTTGCCATCTGTGAGCGACACGTCTTGTGTCTAAGGACCGAGAAGAAGCTCGTCAGCTGTGGTGTGGCAGACTAACGCTGTCGTTGAGGTACATCATCTAACGAGCAACACTAGCGTTGGCGTCAAAGCAGCTGCCTCTCGTGAGCCGGCTTGCACGTCGCTTGATCATCCTGTGGCCATGCGAGGCAGGCCTGATACTTGGCCATTCGCGCATGAGTTGCCGACGCGGCGAGCAGCAGCCCCCGGCGTACTTCGCCTCCAAAAGCAGTGGTTGAGCAAAGCATCGTGTTAGTTCATCGGCGAACAAGCGATGAGCCAAATTCCTCCTGCTCACCAAGGCTTGACTATGCATATGATATCCCCGGTCATTACTCTGTAGAAGAAGCGTCTCTTGTGAGGCCAGGACTGCTCTCTGCTGACTCGAGTGTTTGCGTCAGCCCTTCATATCGTTCACCATGGTGCATGCCAAAGTAAAGATATTTTTTTTAAAAAAAAAAAAAAAAAAAAAAAACATCGGTGCACGATTGCGAACAATGCTGGAGACTACTTTCGCCCAATTCTCCCTTGACTTGTTTTCTATCGTTCAGGTTCGAATAAGTGAGGTTCGTTAGCTGGAGGCACTGGCCGAGGGCATGGACAACAATGCAAAGACTACCTTTCAAAGCTCAAATCCAACCCTGAGTTATGCCATCGGCCGCACTGACCTGATGAAGGTGGGATCGGTTTCAAAGAATCTTCCGGGGCTCATTTGGCCTTCTTCGGGTTCCAGTAGGGCTGGACAACTTGAAATTCCTGTTAATCAAACTACACATTGGAAACAACGTGTGATCGACTCATCGTGGTTGAGGCGGCACAATCCGCACAATCTATTTGCAAGAGTGCACGAACCATAAAGAAACATAGTCGAAGAAATACTTGGAGTACCATTCCAACCATAATTATGAAAACACTAGACTCTACGCCTTCCGTCCCACGTCAACGTGACTCTTCTCATGTGCACTATCCGTGTCGCCAGACCTCTCATTTGGTCCGTACGTCCCCTCGAGTACTTCTCCATCATCATAGATCGTTTCAGGAATCAGAGTCTCCTTTGCCGGGAAAACGAGCGACAGCACAACGTACACGGCAAAAGCACTCGTGAATCCCCAGAAATAAAACATGTAATAAATCTTGTCGGCGCCCCCGATGCTCTTCTTCAGCGATGGTTCAACTTGCGCCGCTCTGCCATCTGTCAGCCACATGTTCATGAGCTCTTCGGTCCCCAGGCGCAACTCACAGTCCAGGAATGTTCGGCACGGCGCTGACGAGGAAAGCAATGACAGCCCTCCAGTTTGTCCCGACCTTGTTGTACCGGTAGCGCCCGTGAGCTCGATACAGGCCCGGGACATCGAGGCGCTGGCGGTGGACGAGCCAGTAGTCAGCACCGAGCAGCGCGGCAATGGGCGCGAGGAAGATGCCGAGGCCGCTCATGAAAGAAAGGAGCGACGCGGCCGAGTGGATAATCTTCCATGGCTGCATGATCCAGGCTGCTGTGATGGTCGTTATAACGACGCCCCGGCGGATGTTGATGTACTTGGGGCAAAGGCTCGTGAGGTCGTTGGCGCAGGAGATGACGTTTGCCGATAGGTTTGTGCCGATCTGGGCAATGCACCAGCCGAGGCCGAAGAAAAAGGCGAAGCAACGGCCACCTGGGCCGTCCCACCGGGAGGCCAGGTCAAGAGGGTCCCAGATGTACTCGCCGTAGACCACACGGGAGGCTGAGCAGCAGATAATGCCAAAAATCCCGACAAGAAGCTGGATGAGCGGCAGGAAGGCGATCTGATAGTAAACGCCTCCGGGTTTCTTGAGGTAGCGTGTAAAGTCGCTGATGTTCACTGCGATCGTAGCCCTACTGATGTCAGCAGGGATAGTAGAAGGGGCCCGAAGCTTACGTACCACCCGCCGGTGATGCTGGATATGCTAGAGAGGATGAGCCAGCGGCGAGCCGAGCCATGGACCTGGTAGGGTTGGTCCCAGATATCACCAGTACCCCCCGCTCGGGAGGTCATGTAGATGACGGCTGCGGTAGAAGTGCTGAGGACAAGAACTAGAAAAGATGAGTAAAGACGCCAGCATACGGACTTTTGCCGATGATGAGATGTATGTATCATGACGGCTTGACTTACCGACTTTGGTGACGAAGAACCACTTGAGCTTGTGGGGCGGGATAAGCAGAATGGGGAACTGCACAATCCAGAAGATCAAATGGCTGACCATCTGCTGAGTGGTGATGCCGACCGACTCTGGGATGTGGTTGGGTATATCTAGGTATGAGGGCCAGATGGCGCGTATCATCTGCGTCATGGCAGTTGAGCCTGTGTAAGTCTGGATTGCATGCCAGAACAGGGCTGTGACGGCTCGTGTGACAACGGCGAATCGTGCAAAGTACCAACCAAAAGAAGCCCTCGCTGCAATGGGATATGGAACGTGGAGTCGGGCGCCGATGAAGCCGTTGAGAACGAGGGGGACGGTGCACACAAGACTGCCGATGATGATAGAGAGGATGGCCTCACGCCTTGGGGCTGTCAGTACGCCGTGCCAATGTTGAGGACCACGGGGCATACCAAGTCAGGCCTCCGACCATGATGGCAGCCGGGGCCATCCAGCCCTGAATGTTGAGGGCATCACTGCCCCAGTAGAGGCCCAAGGTCCAGACGGACCAAGTTCTGCGGTCCACGGGTGTAACGTCGCAGTCAATGTTTGTCCTAAAAAGTCAGGTTCAGGTGGACTGGAAGCACAGAATCATGTCACGCAACACTCACCAAGTCCCCTCTTCGGCAAATGAGGCCGTCTCGCGGGGGAGAACCCAGCCTGAAGGCTTGCGCTTGGCGGCCAAGTCAGCCTTGACAGCGACGGCTCTCTGGCGGAGGGCACTGGCCATGGCCGACGACGGGCTGTTGAAAAGCAATCTATTTAAAGATTCGAAAACGACAACCAAGAGACGATGAGTAGCTCTTGTCGGCTTTTAACTGATCTCAAGATAGATGGCCTTCTTCACGGGAGCTGTTGGTACTTGACATTGGCATTCACAATCAAACGAAGCATCGTAACATGGAGTCCTGTTATACACTTCACGAAATTCACTCTTGAAGATCTCGCGACTTCGCCTCTATCCCCAAACCCGAGATCTTGGAACACGATTGTCGACTTGGCTTCCAGGGGCGTGCTTGAGGAAAGCAAAGTTCGTGGTGAACGCCCGCAGGACATGTTGATAAGATAATCATTGGAGAAGCTCTCCACGACACCATATGAATGAACCGGAGCTTATCTACCCGTAGCCGTCGGCAGATGGCCACCGCCCTCCTCCCCCCCTCATGGCTGCAGATGCAAGAACACCAGACCTGGAATGACCCAACGGCGCGGACCATACCACGCGGTAGGCCACAATGGAGGTCACGAGTAGTTATGAAGGCTTAGCAGCTCTGCCGCGCGCGGAGAGTGGGATTGCAGCGGCCAGCCCAATAACCTCCCTTGTCGAATACTGATAATGAAGGGACACAACAGGTCGATGTCAAAGATTGGATCGCCAAGCATTGGGCCTTATCATGGTGACGAGGTGTTCATTGGCTAGAGTCGTTGGGGTGATTCGACCATATCGGCGCGAACAGCGGAGATGCTTGCATGCAGGGGGGGACAACACCTGGGGTCGAGCTGCCCCGCGCCGGTATTGAATCAATGGTCGGCGGCCGGCGGCGGCCACGGGCTATGAGAGCGGCGGGCGACATGGATGTGGGCGTGCGCTCGGCGTTCAGCATGATAGCTCCAAGCAGCTCTCAATAGAGCACCACAACGATGGACAATGCGATCAAGGTCGAATCCGATCTTGATCTGAGACTGGGCAGCCGTGCAATAAGGCAGGGTAGCCTCACAATAGGTGCTCATAATTCCACCACAACATTACAGAACAGCAGCGAAGATTGAGATGATCAACCAGCTCGAGATCTGGAGATTGAGAGCCTTTTCAGGCCACATGCACAATTGAGAATACTTCAGTCCCAATCCAAATGCTTATCGCTTCTGCTCGATACGACTTTCGCCGGTTCTCTACGCCTCCTCTCCGCGACGAAACCGAGGGCGTCCACTCCGCGACTCTTGGCGGACATTGAAACTCATCAATTCCCTAGTGATTATCTAATGGATGCATCGCGCGCTCTCTAATGCCGAAGACGCGAAGCACCCCCTCCCCGCCTGGGATTTTGCCCCTCACGACAAATCAGCCCGCGCGATGAAGGCTTGAGGGTCTTGAGATGTCCAGTTGCCTGCATTCTTTTTAACATTGATAAGCTCAAAGCACGAAGCCTTAAACTTATATGATCACTCGAATCCTCCCTCACGTATTTCTTATTCTTGGGAAATCATTTGTTTCCTGGATGTGTGACAATCCCGCCGCATGCGCTACCAACACGATTCTGATCTTTTCAAGATGTCTTCGGCGTCACGACCCAGCCTGTCATTACCGAACGCGAGGCCTTATCCGTTCGACTTTCCTCTGGCGACCACGGCGCTTGTCATTATCGACATCCAGCGTGACTTTGTCGACCCGGGCGGCTTCGGCTCCGTTCAATGCGGCAATGATGAAATCTTCTCCAAAGCTCGGTCTATCGTGCCGGCCGTCCAAAGAGTTCTCGAGATTTTCAGATCAACTCGTGGGCATGTGATCCACACGCGCGAGGGTCACCAACCTGATCTCGCCGATTTGCCGGCTGCCAAGAAGCTGCGTCAGATCAACAACCCCAACGGGCATCACTTCATGGGCATCGGCGATCAGGGGCCCATGGGGCGTCTTTTAGTGAGAGGAGAGTATGGCCACGACATCATTGACGAGTTGCAGCCCTGGCCCACAGAGGTGGTCATCGACAAGCCGGGCAAGGGCAGCTTTTGGGGAACGGACATCCACCGTGTGTTGCTGGCGCGAGGCATCACCCATCTCTTGTTCGCAGGCGTGACAACCGAGTATGATTTCCTGACATGCCGTGAAGAGCATATGCTGACCCTTCCCAGGTGCTGTGTGACGACAACGCTGCGCGAGTGCAACGACCGTGGGTACCAATGCTGTGTCCTCGAAGACTGCACGCAAGGCTTCGACGCTCAGCAGGTGACGACGTCCCTCGATACCATCTGCGCCCAGGATGGCCTCTTTGGCTTTGTTGGCAATAGCGCAGACTTTTTGACAGCGACCAAGGATGTCTCTACTGCTCCGGTATCGCAACTCGGTGTATCAGGTCCCTTTCCTTCGATCGACGACCTTCAGGCACTCTATAAAGATGGTCAAACAACACCCACAGACGTGGTCAACGCCGCGTTCGATCGCATCGAGGCTTATCAAAACGAAGATCCAGCCGTCTGGACGTCCCTCGCAAAGAGGGCAGACGTCCTCGTCGCTGCGAAAGCACTCGCAGAGAAGTACAAGGAAAAGCCTTTGCCGCCTCTCTTCGGTGTTCCTTTTGGCGTCAAGGACAGCATAGACGTTGAAGGCATCGAGACTACGGCCGCATGTCCGTCGTACGCCTACGTTCCTAAGGCCACCGCCACCTGTGTGCAGCACATCCTCGATGCTGGAGGTATATACGTTGGAAAGACGAACCTCGATCAGCTCGCAACTGGTCTTTCAGGCTGTCGCTCGCCGTACGGCGTTCCGCACAGTATCTTCAGCAAAGACCTCATCGCAGGTGGATCTTCCTCAGGCGGATGCGTTGCAGTGGCAGCTCGCCTCGTTCCCTTTACGGTTGCGACTGATACGGCAGGCAGCGGTCGCGTCCCGGCCGCCTTCAACGGAGTCGTCGGATTCAAGCCGACCAAGGGCACCATCTCCGCCCGTGGCCTCATCCCGGCTTGTAAGACTCTCGACAGCATCGCCATAGTGGCAACCTCAGTCGCTGACGCGCGCGCCGTATGGCGTGTCATCGCTAAGCACGACAAGGCGGATCCATACTCAAAGCTGCCTCACACGCTGCCTACGTGGAAGACGGATTTCCGAGGTCTCAAAGACGGTGGCTTTGATTTCGCCGTGCCCCCACCCGCCGCTCTCGAGGCCTGCACGCCCGAATATCGCCGCCTGTTCGCCGAGGCCGTGAAAAAGTTGCAATCTGCGGGAGGGCGTTTGCGGAACACAGACTGGGAAGCTTTCGAGCGGGCGGGCGAGCTGCTTTATGAGGGGGCGCTGCTGCATGAGCGCATCACATGCATCGGCAGAGAATTCCTGCGGTCGAGCATCCAAGATGGGGGCTTGCACCCCGTCATTCAAAAGCTTTTTTCTGACGCACTTAACAAGGCTCCAGACGCGTATGATGTGTTCCGCGATCAGGCTACACAGGCTGAGCTATCACGCAGGACGCACATGGCGTTTGACACGCTTTCTGGCGGGGTGGATGTGCTCGTTGTGCCGACTACGGTGTGCCACCCGACATTTGAGGAGATTGCTGCAGATCCGATCCGATTGAATGCAAGGTTGGGAACGTTCACGCATTTTGCGAACATCGTTGACTTGTGCGGGTTGAGCGTGCCAGCTGGGACATATCTTGATGAAAAAGAGACAGAACTGCCGTTTGGGGTAACGATATTAGCAGGCAGCGGATTTGATGCAAAGGCACTGGATGTTGCGAGGGTTCTTGAAGAAGTAATAAAGGCCAAATAAGGGTCGTGAGATGTTAAGAATGGAAGCAGAACTACGCGAGATAGTGATATCAGACAAGATGAGACGATTCCACAAGGTATATCGTGAGCTCCAGCAGGCGAGTCTACGGTAAATCAGTGGTCTTGGTTATACTCATAGCCACAATGAAGTAGGGTAGCATGGACTCGGGAAAGGAGACGACTTTGTGCCTTCCGAACTATCACGAGGCGAAGTTATTTCTCCACTTGAAGCAAAGAAGTCGACTGCGCAATGCGAGCTCTGTCGTATGTGAATACCAGTCACGTCAGGTATCCCGCGATGGATCTGATTCTGGGCAAAGCCAATCTTCTTAACGTGGATGTCGTCCCGTCCAGGCCTCAGCTGACGAATGCAGATGGACGAGACTAAATATTGACTCAAACCTGAACAATACCTGCAGTATGAGCAGCAGCAAGTAGAAGACTGCCATCAAGCTCTGTACTTGACATACAGCTTTTCCAAATCAGGATGTTGCTAAGTGTCTCTTTCATGTGAAGAAAGCCGCGCTCGAGTCACAGCCATGCCCGCAGCCTTCGTTCCAACTGCTGTCGACATGCATTCAGGGGCGAAGCGTGCCCCCATATCGGCATTATCCGGTCTGTCGGGGGAGTGGTCCCCCGAAACGGCAAAACGGCCGCGCCTGTCGCTGTCAGCATGACGAGGAACGTTGTGCTCAACCTCTTTGGGGCCTTTCTTAGTGTCATCTTTCCGCGCATGCGAACAAATCAGGCTGCCCGCTTGTTCATGGCCCTGGGCGGCCTCGCTCCTCCAGACCCGGAGGAACACGTATGAAGCAGCGGGGCGAAGCACAGGCAGACTACAAGGGCCGGGGTGCAGAGGGAAAGTCAAGCGGACATTCCGGGCCACCCTTGATCCCTGGGGATCAGGGCCAAGTCGCCCCTCAACGGCAGACGAATAGGACGGCTGAGGCTGCAATTGCCGCGACTAGGGCCCGGCGCCGTCCGTCCAGCCTGTCGATCTCTACCCAGTCAAGATGTTTGTCTCAACCCCATCAGCTCATTTCCACACCTTGGTAGCCTTGACTTGTGATCCGAAGAGCAGGTACTTCCGTGCCAAGCGTGCCCTGGGATCCGGCCGGTCACTACGCTTGTGTCCAGAAGACATGTCATGATCCTTTGTTCAAGATGTTGGGTCTCCTCATCATTTGAGGTTACTGCTGGCGACATGACGAGTTGCCGATGCTGCCAAGCGACCTTCCCATTCCGGCGGTGAAAACTGCCCTAAGTCGGCCAGGTGGTCGCTGTGCCTCGTCAAATGATGCCGCTGGTAAAGGTTCTCAGGGGGGTTGCTGCGGCGCAGCAGCGAACACCTGCAGCTTGGAAATCTGCAGCGGCTTCCGCTGTGTCGGGACCAACAATGTGAACAGTTGGAACGCCGAGAAAACGTGGCTTCGGAGAGAACCCATATTGTCGGGTTTTCTGAGCCAACTGGCTGTTGTATGCTTCCCAACCTGTTGTTATTGTCCCATGCACGTGTTTCCAGGCGCTTGGCGGTTCTGGTGCTACCTTACCATGTGGTGATACTGCGCGACGATGCACCCTTTGCCGAACTGACAAGAGATGCGGCCCTATTCGTCTGTCGCTTCCGTTTATTGGACTAGGTTCCATGAAGATGTGAAAATTTCTATCTCGGTTTTCTACCGCCGTTCAAACCTCAAGGCGCCAGCGTCCAACGGGCCATCAAACATCCAATCCCTCCAGATATAAAGGTCCGAACGCCACAGTTCAACACGTAAATAACAAAGGCATACGCTCCCATTATTCGTACTGTACCGTAAAAGACTTTGTCTGTAGAATCGCCTTCTCACTGTGGTTATCGGGTTCCACGCCGCTCTGGCTCCCAGCGTCGACCGTCACCTGAGTGTCCCCGAGAATATTGTTGTCCTTATCTCTGTTAGATGAAGAGAACGTCTGCATCTCGTTATCGTCAAACACCTCGTACTGGTTTCGTTGCTTCCGGGATCGGCTGAGGCCGTCTGCAGATCTTGGCTGCCCAGCGTACTTGCGAGCGTAGGATGGATCGGATGTCGAGTCGCCGCCCATCAACCTCGGCGCAAAGTGTCGGAAGAACTTTCGCAGGGTTGGCATGGAACCGCAGATAATGAACAAGTTGGCCTCCAAGAAGCTGGAATTCACATGGTCAGGCCGGCTTCGAGCAGCACATGATGGAGAGACTTACGACCAAATGTTGGCTGGGGCGGCTTCCCATGTGAGATCCGTCGTCTTCAACACTGGGAGAAGATAGACCAGGCGGATGCAGGACGTTGTGACGGTTCTGTTCCGGGTCAGTCGTGTCACATTTTCCAGAATAGCTTTCCTTACACTGAGCCGATGCCGAATACAATCAGAGCACCGATCTTCTGTCCACGCCCCATATGCAATTTCAGAACCATGGGAATCGGCATGACGAAGAGAATGACGTCGGTCACAATATTGGACACAGCAGTAGCAATGTACAGAATGCCGACATCAATGCAGGAGCCGCCGACCACGGTGATGTCGAAGGCTTTGCGCACAGGGTCGCAGTGGAAGAGAAGCATGGCTGTGATGATGACTGTGTACAGGCCAACAATCACAATCATGAACCACGTCGCGATGCGGAACCGGCCCTGGGGCGTGAGGTGTAGATAGAACGTAAGCAGCGACAGTTTGGTGAAGCCGTTGCACAGCATGAAGACGGCCGCAGCGACGTAGGCGATCTGCGATATCTGAAATCAGCCGAGCTCACCTCCTGGTCTGGCGATCGACTCACGAGAGCATATGTCTTAAAGTCTTCTAATGGAATCTCCCAAGCATGAGAGCAGAGAGTCTTGATCCTGATGGCCTCTGTATTCGCTGGTCAGCAGATGAGTCTGCGAAGCAGCTTCAGAAGTCGACATACCAATGAGGAGAGCCTGCGTCACGACAGAAGACATCTGAGTAGGGGTCAATCACTGATCACGAAGGTCTCGCGTTGCCGCCGGAATGGGCCTTACCCATGCTAAGCACATAAAAGCTGCGTCACTGTTAGCTCTCGGTTTGTATGGCATGTTATCAAATATGCATACCATCGTCCACCTGCAGTCCTTTGGACAGGAAAACCTTGGTGTAGTAGCGTTGTAGCAGGGCTATGAATGCCAGTGGCCCTAGGATCCCAAAGATCAAGTAGTGCTCCAGCACCTTTTGCTGCTGAGGATTCTCGAAGTCCACCACATAGCCCTCTGGTGGTGGCACCAAGGTCTGCACACCGTTGGTGACCGGAAAGTCGGCCATGGTCGATGTCGTCCACGAGCGGAACGTGGTTGTGGATGGGGGCGATCAGGGTTGTAGGAGAGATGGCATCGGATTTGGGAGCTCTCACGTTGTATAGCAAGACATTCTGCAGGATCTGCAAGAGTCAGGACTCAGCTGAGACGTCGCATGAACAAAGCAGCACGGCAAGTCTGCCCTGAATGGTAATCAGCGGGGAGGACGAGAAGGTGATGACGGGCGCTGGCTGGAAGGAAGATGAGTAGCGTCAAGAAGACCAGGGGGGCCGAGGCAGGGTTTAATCTGTGCCGGCATGCCAAGGGAGCTGGCATCTCTCTCACGAAGTACCGCGCCATGCGATATGCTGTACCCCCGCTCCTGGTTAAGGTTCCTCATGGCGCTGAACCCACCAGCCACCGGGGGTTCTCCAAGACCTGTCGAACCTTGACCCTGAGTTTCGTCTAATGAAATCAAGGTTATGGAAGAATAGGGGCCTCCTCCCGCTGTTTCGATGGGATCGAACGCAGGGGAAAAGGCTGTGCTACCGAGCGATTGGTCTTTCTGGAGCATCATCATCAGGGCAAATACCTCGCTGGCTAGCACATTAACGCCCAAGACCCTAAGACCGACCGGCCAATGCAGCCTCCTTTGGCCTGCTGTTGACTCGCTGAAAACGGCCCGGGGAGTGCATCTCTTAGACATTTGGATGCATGGAGACCTTTGTCCAAGACCTTATCGGCGGGACATGACTCGGGACTCGATCGAAGGGATCAGGAGAGCCCCAGCTTCCGATGAATACTGGACCCCTCCCGCATGTCCGAATATCGCCTGTGTGAATTGTTCGATAGATGTTGAGAGTTTTCGGCGGCTTCCCTTCTCGTCCAGTGTCCGTTACAAGGCCAGGATTCGGGATTCGGCAGGACTTGATGAATTGAGGATCAGGGGCAGGGCCTCTCTATTCCACCGTCTTTTGCTTCCCCCCCTTCAACCCCAGCTTCCTGTCAGCGCCAAGTGGACCCGGCAGTGATCTGCGAGGTGCTAAACAAGCTGGGCGGCACTATCCACCTTGGTCTGGTCCACTCACACCCGGAACAGGTTGGTCTCTTTTCTATCACGACTTCATGTGTGGCTCCAAACTGCTGCTCTCACTGGCCCTTTCGAACGCAGTACCTGACCTGGGTCAGAGTAGCAGGCACAGCCCCTTGACAAGCTACTGTACACGACGCGAGGCAAGGGAGATGCCGATGAACTTCCTCCGAGACTATGAACCCCTCAGAAGCTCTGTTTTGCCATGGGTCGTGCAGGCTACCTAGCCTCATTGAGGTGACGACCCCGATTACCGTTGTCCACTGTCAGCATTTTAAGCGTAATGCGATGAGATTAGACTCTCATGTCTCTGTCGAACGGAGACGGTGGATTGCCATGAGCAACCGCCGCAAGACATAAATTAACGGCCACGCATGCCGATCTCAATTCCACACACCCTTCAGCGCACAGAACTTCGAGGGTCCTTCTGGAACCACATTGTCTCATCCCTCGTCACAGTCTGTGTGTCGTGCTCATTCATCCGTTCGCCAGCACTTCTTTGCCCAGCCTTTCAACCCAAAACACACGAACCATGAAGCTCATCACTGCTGCAGCGATCCTCGCTTGGGCCTCGGAGCGCACCGCGGCTGCCACGGCCGGGGTCCAGAGCCCCCAAAGCGCTTGTGTTTGTGCCGTCCTTCTCCAGACATGCCTTGCGTTCTCCACACAATCACAGACCTCTTTGTGCTGACGAGTCGGTCAATTGCAGTGCACAGCGCTGGCCAAGGACAAGAACCTCGTGGGCAAGATCATCAATCCCACAAATGCCCTCTACAGCCAGCGTCTTGACACGTACTACTCCGCCAACGCGGCTCAGGAGCCATGGTGCATGGTGCTGCCCCTGGGCACCGCCGATGTAGCTGCCACCGTGAAGATCCTGACGAAGAACCAGTGTCCCTTTGGCATGAGGAGTGGTGCTCACTCCGCCTGGGCAGGGTCCAACGGCATCAAGGACGGAGTGACTATTGACTTTGGTGGGTTGTTACATATCCATGAACTTGCTCAGTCGCAGTCAAGCGGTCTGGCCTAGCATATAGTTCACAAATTCTGACCGCTCGCCAGCGTACATGAACACGACGACCTACAACAAGGCAGCAGGAACTGCTTCCATCCAGCCTGGTTCGGACTGGGAGCGCGTCTTTGATGCGCTTGACCTTTCGGCGTCTCAGCCGTTGGCGGTCGGGCATCTGTTGTCGGTGTTGGCGGCTTCACGACCGGCGGCGGTGTAAGTGACTTTGCATGTTGAAGAGCAGTACAAAGTCGTGAGCTTACACTTTTGGCAGTACTCCTTCCACTCCAACTCTGAGGGGTTCGCCTGCGACGCTGTTGCCAACTTTGAGGTTGTCCTCGCCGATGGCAGGGTGGTCAACGCCAACGCCAAACAAAACGCCGACCTCTGGAAGGCTCTCAAAGGTGGTTCGGGCAACTTTGGCCTCGTCACGCGTATTGACCAATGTGAGTACAGACGTTCGATGTCGGCTGAACTTCTTCTGATGTGAACCACAGACGTTGTCGACTCAAACTTGATGTGGGGAGGTCTCAGCACGTACGACACGAGCAAACGCGATGAGCTCTTCAACGCATATTTGAACTTTGGCAACAACATGGACAAGGACCTCGCCAGCCAGAACATCATTGCAATGATCTACAACTCTGCAGGGTTCATTTTTGTGTCCGTTTTGAGCAACATCGATGCCATTGATAACGCGCCCGCTTTCAACGAGTATCGCGTCATCCAGAACACGTCAAGCACGGCCCGCATCGCCCCCGTCGCTCAGCTCGTTCCCGACTTCACCGGCCCGACTCCTCTCGGACTCTAGTAGGTGCATTTCCGGCAGCTCCGTGTCCAAATTTCTGATCGTTATCTGTAGTGCAAGCTGGATGAATGGCATGACGACACATGAGCTCCATGTCATGGAGTTCATCCAACAGGCGCATCAAGAATACGTCGGCAAGATGAAGGCAGCCGCTCCGAGCTCCAACTTTGAAGTGCTGCTACAGTTCCAGCCCGTGACGCAGTCGATTGTCAACCACAGTGTCCGCAAGGGTGGCAACGTCCTCGGTCTCGAGACCATCGTCAAGGACGGCCCGGTTCTAATGTGGCTGATTGCTCTCACCGTTGACACGCCTGCGAACCAGGAGAAGATCCTGCCCATTTGCCTTCAGCTCCGTGATGCAATAAACGCCTATGCCGACAAGACTGGTTCGCAGAAGAACTGGGAATTCCTCAACTATTCCTTCAGCGACCAGGACCCTATCTCCAGGTACGGCGCGAAGAATATTGCACACGTCAAGGCTGCGTCCAAGAAGTACGATCCCAAGGGTGTCTTCCAGAAGCTGCGCCGTACTGGATTTAAGCTGCCCGCCTGAGCAGAGGTTAGCACCCAACGTTGGATCCTACGACGCCGGCAACCGGACATGCCCGGACCGCCTTTTACGTACAGCCAATGATGAATTGACGAGATAGTTAGAGCCTAAGAGTGGTATGATATTATTATTCATGTGATTCACGTCACGCCTTTTCCAACGAGACACGTCTTGAGAATCCTAGGGTGGCTGTTGGTCTTGGTCTTGGCCGTATACGCTCATTACCACGAGCCGTCCAAGCCAGCACAATGCCCAGACAATGAAGAAGACAACTAACAAGAAGTACCAAAGACGTAGGTAAATTAGAGTCATGTCTTTGAACCAAGCAAGGTCTTACCAACTGTCGAGCTTTCGTCCCGCCTCAACCCCAGAAAACTTCTCGTCACCTTCGTGTGCTCCCACCGGATTCCCTCGTTTTGTCCAGACTAGGTGTCTCAACCCTCCTCGCCCGCCGTATCAGCACTGCATTGCTGCTTGAAAATGCCGCCATGACCGATATTCTCTTCACTGCAATGTATTGGCCGCACAGTTGGACCAGTCCTGATCCGGAAATACTTTGACGGAAATACTCTCAAAATACTATAAGTGTTAAGTTCTGTATTAGAGTGTTCAGTCGGATATAGTCGAGACACTGAGTTCTACAGGGCTTAGAACCTTTGGGTATCAAGGAGGGAAGACCTCCGCTAGTTATACTAGTTGAAAGCTCCCCATTCCTTCACCCTAGTCGTCCTCATTGGTCGACCTCATTCATCCACTGTCACCTCATACCCCTGATTCTTGCACCCTGCACAGTGGAGCTGAGCTGCCGGGTATGTCATCGGTCATGACCCAACGTGAATAACTTCCCCAGCCACAATGAAGTTCTCTCTCTCGGTCGTTGCTCTCGGTATCATGCTCAGCGCTGCCAAAGCTACTCCCCGCATGGAGATCCGAGTACAGCCTGGGCTTTTTAATACTGAGATCACATAACAAGAAATGCATCAGGCAAAGCTGTCCTTGGCCTCCGTCTGGTTGCCCAGAGTGCATCAACTCTGATTTCAGCAAGCTGACCAGTAACTGTTGAGGCATCAGGGCCATTAATCTAATGACTGTTCATAAGGAGACGTTTAATATTCAACATGAGAAACCTACTAGCTGAAAAGAAAGTATCTTGCCTTAAACCAGCAGCTTAGCGATCTCATACTTGAACGAGTGTATGCACTGTCATGGGTAGTGCCCACCCAAGAACAGATAGCATCATGGCGGTGTCTCAATTTCGACCCGAATTCTTCGTATAGTCGCGAATAGCTTCGCGGTGAATATACTAGGCCAGTCATTGAGCGCTTCGCCAGGACGAGGTCTTCAATAGATTATTACTGTTTGGGAAGCAGCCCAACATCAGCCAGCAATACTACACCCACGCCAGAATGGTTAGCAAGACAGTTCATGGCGCGCCGTTGCAGTCGAAATGGTATCATTCAACTATTTGCCGCTATTCTCTCCACAACTAGATGACACGTCCCCAGATCCTCAACAAAACCGTCTTCAACTAGCGTTGTTCCGCACGACGGATTGTCACCTAGCACACTGAAGGGATGCCAACAATAGCTGCGATGCGTCAGTAGGGTCACCAAAGTTGTAGAGAACAACTGACCGCTGCCTATGATGCCCTGCCTCCCGAGAGAGTCCTGTCCGCGTGACGACACTTGCAACACTCGCTAATGTTCCTGCCACAGAACAAGAAAGACCTCATGTTGAATTCCCTCGGCCGTGCCAGGGGCGTGCGTCAGAGCTGACCTCCTCAATGCACCAACCGAGATTCTAATTCGGGAAAATACTCCATCGCGGTACGGAATCCTCACCCTGTTTCTGCAAGACCGGAAGGCACTCAAAACAGCCGCCGCATCGGAGTACCCCGCAGTCCCAGCATGTCTTCTTCCCTTCAGTGTCGCATGCTGAGCTACAACAGAGTCCAGGCTTGTCGGTCGAAGCGTCCCCGACGATTTCATTGGCGGATATCTTACTGGCTGTGAGGACCAAAAGAGAAAGGATTGTCGTGAGATGCATGTTGTGCAGTGACAGCGGCAGCAAGAGGGCTCAGGTCGTTGACTTGCTTGAAAGTTGTTGATGGAGTCAACAGGCGAGTGATGGGCTTTGTCTGAATCAACCGAATGCGAAAGAAGGAAACAGACTCAGAGCCAAGCAGGACGTTTATTTGTAGCCAGTCCATGAGTGGCGATGAGAATTCAACTCATCGCCATGAGACCGGTGTGTGTTACACATGGACGCGGAGAAAGGTTTGCTCAAGAGCCTGGTGTCGCCAACTGCAGTTTTGCCTAATCTTATGCGGCCGCAGAAAGACCGCAGTGTTGCAATAATTACGTCACAGTTGTGCAGTCTTCGCAAACGAGATAGCAGCATATGCAGAGTGTTTCAATCGTCCCAACCAACAAGAGGATTGACTCGCTGATCGCACCCCATGTATTGACCGCTTATAGTATATTGGCTTGGCCAACGATGAACTCGTTCTATCGCGAGGGGTAAATGCATCCTTCCGATGATCATCACAAAATGGTCCGACTGAGTCCAAAGTCCGTGGATGCTCAAAGAGGTGCTTGGGCGCCTCGCTGGCGGCCATAAAAGCCCACAACTCGAGCGTCCCCAAGCTAATTACTTCAAGTCGATATTAGACCCAACAATCTCGTTCGAACTTGTGATATCAGCATCTTCATCGAATTACCTCGCTGCCCTTCATCATGCTTCGATCGTGTGCCGTCCTTCTTGTTGCGCTTGTGTCTACAGCCGCAGCTCAAGCATGCTGTGCATACGGCTGCTCTGGACCATTTGTCACCTGCTGGGAATGTGTGACTCAACGATGCGGAGGTTGCTATCAGTGCCTCCCTACGTTGGGTTCAATTGTCGAAGATGCTCCAGCTGACATGGTCGATGGTGCCGGTATGCTCTCAAACTCCAAGTCCCTATATTGATGTGTCAACTGAGAGTCTTCTAGCATCGATCTACACGTTCCAGACTTGAGTGTTTTTTTGGAGAACCAAATCCCCTCTGTGGAAGTGCTGGTGGCCAGGAAAGAGGTCAGAAGTTGCTGTTTGGTGGAGCAAGGAAGTTTTTCGCACCTCAATTGAAAGATGTAGTGTCACAGTACTTTGGAGCTCTTTTGCGCAATCCTCATTTTATTATACGCTTCGCATTGCATATGACCGCAGCCATCTCGTGCATGAAGAGATAGAAATACCGTCCATCTGCTGAACAGCCTCAAAATGCAATTCTCGGGACAGAAGAACAAAGTTTTCATCTTGATTTTCAAGACCCATACTCAAGTGACCGCCAGAAAAGTGCAAGGTGGCAAGGTAGCTGCTCGGGGATCTTGGGCTGCTACGGCTTCAGGTTATGTACTTGTCCAGTCATCACCGCGAACAATCCGAGCCGGTATTTTTCAAGGCTCAGTTGCTGTGTCCCGTATCACGCAGGGCTCGGAACGGCGTCCTAGCCATAGATGGCTGAACATGAGACATCTCTTTATCTTGCAATAATAAGTATCACGGCCTCGAATTTTAGGAGAACCCCTCTTCTTCAAAGCAAAGCCTTGATTCGACATTCACGCCGAGCTTGCTATAACCTTTGACCAGCTCCCTGGCTGGCACTGACCTAAACACTAAATGGCTTTCTGGCAGCCTGAGTGACTCGGCGGGCTCTGTGGGCGAAAGGCTGGCATGTATTTCTGATGATATAGTATGATATACGTGTTTTCTCTCTTGACGTCTGATGTCTGCCTCAAACCCGGACTCCCCAGACTTTGAAAGTTGAATGATCGAAGAGGTCGTGACTGGGTACGAGTTGTCATTTTTGAGTTGCCATGTTCTCAGGCTTCTCTAATTTTCATACTGTTTTGAGTTTCACAGTTCCAGGGAGCGGCGGTTAAGAAATAAGAAATGAACCTGAAATTCGGTCTCTCAAGCATCACTTTTGGCGGTGCTCCACCGAGCTCTGAGCCGTCTCGAACTGAAATACGCGTTTATACTCTTACTATTTGAGGTATGTCATTGTCTATGATACATTGCTCATGGGCATGACTACACAGACCAAGGGCAGGCTGGAAGCTATGGATTCCAACTGCAGATATCCACAGTTGGCGAGGCGAGACTCGCTTCGTATTTAAACACCTTGATGATTTCAAAGGGCGGGTTGCGGGGCGGGTTAGGGTTAAAATCTATTTTTGTCACAGCCCCAGCTAATCTAGGTTTTCCGACTCCCATGTCAGCGCTAATCATCTGGAATGTCCGGCGGTCGGTCCTCAGCTCTATGTGGTAGCAAGATCCGGACAGATCTTTGCCTCTTCCACGTCTCGTAAAGTGCTCGTGCCTCAAGCGAGCGACGTGACCAGATGCTGTGCTGATGATGCTGATGTGCAGATAACCAGCGGGAACGGCGCTTCAATGGCGTTGCTCCCGAGACGGCTGACGAGCTGACCTTACCCAGCCTGAGAATTGGACACCCGCCACACCACCAAGACTTCTCAGCCCAGCAGCTTTGACGAGTACCGGCAGACGGGTAGACGAAAGATGACGAAAAGGGACTTTGGGGGCGGCGCAGTTGGGAATCTCGGCCCACGACCGCTCACAGCTGAGATTGGAGGCCCATCCCAACAGCATATGCAGACAGGGATCTCATCCGTCGCATCGCAACACAGATGCTGACGCCAAGGATGTAGGTGGGTGGTGAGAAAGCGAGCGGCGAAGGAAGCATACAATTCGAGCACTTCCCACCCTCGTGCTCCCATTCGCAAGCTTGCAGTCTAGCAATTTTAATCTTTGTTTCTGTCCTTCTTTGTGATGTCAATCGCCTCCTCGCCGTTGCGCATTGCCTTGCCCGCCTTTCAATCGCTCGCTCTGGTCGTTGCAGCTCAATAACATTCCGAACCCTTCGGAGGAACTCCGAAATCCGGCGCCTTCTCTCCTAATTGAACGAAAGTTGCAGCATACTTCGAGAAAGGCGCTTCGGCAGTCGGCGTGGCAGCAGTCTTTTCCGGCCGAATACCAGGACAGAGGGCGATAGCGACAGCAACACCGGTTGGGCGCCTGGGGTTATCTCGTCATCCTGGCTTGTGCTGCGACCAGGCCACTGCTCGCTCGACGACAGCATTCACACAAAACGGACCAAGAGGCGAAGAGGTGGGAAGAATCGTCAGGATGAATGATGATGCATTTGGCATCCGGCACAATCAACCGGCAGCGATACACATGACGCCCATCTCGCAGAGGAGCTCGGTTCAGCGGAAGCCCGTCGGCTCCGGCTCACGGACATCGTCTTTCTCGGTCTCGGGGACATCTGCGACCTTCTCGCCAGGTGTTCCTGGACAGGTATCACGACACGAACGTCGGGTCAGCTCGCCCCTCGCGCCCAATCCGCGAACCTCTGCTACAGGGACAGGCATCGTGTCACCTCAGTCGACGATTGACGAGACATCGGCATTCAGTAATTACTTTGCCTCAAATCTCCCTGCCGCTCACCGCCCGCAGCCTTCACCGATACAAGTCGAACATGACTTTACATATTCCAATTACCAAGGCTATTACGAGCCGTCCACGGCGAACACCACCCCGGGCTACCATTCGTCTTCAGCCCTCCTCCTCAACAAGGTCAGTACACACGGTGAGGAACCTGTCGGCAAGCCGTTAGCATCATCCACGGTGAATCAAGTTTCCTCTTCAGACCAGCAACGACGAGATCAACCACACCGCGCCGCCGTCTGCAGGCTCCGGGCCACTATGCGGGAAGCCCACCTCCCTACAGTTTCAGCTACTGGCGTCCTTCGTATAACATGTACTTCTTCCTCTGGCTAGGCATATGCGCCGCAATGGGCCACCACTTCTTCTACAACTCGCTCGATGGCCGCATTGCCGATAACCCACATCCGCATGTTGCGCTACGGTACGGCCCTGTCATTCGTTGCTAAGGCTTCACTGGCCGCGTCCGTCGTCCTTGCGTTCAAGCAGCGCGTGTGGTTGACGGTGCGTCGAAAAGCCATGACACTGAGCGCCGTCGACTCGCTCTTCGCCGCCGCCGACGATCTTTCGGCCATCTTCAACGCCGAGATCTTTCGCCAGGCCAGGGTCGCCATTATCCTGGCCATCTACGTCTGGTGCACGCCGCTCGTCGTCATTCTGACCTCAGAGACGCTGGCTGTGCGTAATGAGCTTGCCGTCGAGAATGTCACCTGCCCCGCCGTGCGCACGCTCAACTTTGCCGCCGAGGAGACGAACGAGTGGCGCGACGCGAAGCGCATCGACAAGTTGATTTCGCTGTCCGTCAGTCTGTGGAATACGACACGTGGCGCCCTCGACGAAGATGGTAACGAAACTGAAGGCTGGTACGACTATTTCACCAGTCCGAGCTGGCAGTTTGAACAGGTGGCCACGCTGGCTGCCTTTTCAAAGACACCAGTCGCGAGGGCCGGTGCCGCGGAGGAGATATGCGGCACGGGTTGGAATTGTACGTTCACGGTTCAATTCACGGGGCCGGGATACAAGTGCACCGAGCTGGCCTCAGGAGTCGGTTCGAAGCCGAAGGAACTGGGCAACGCGACGGCGCCTTTCGGGACGGAGATACTGGCTCCAGAGGGCAACCAGACATATGTTGCCCAAGCCTTCCTGGGGCACTATTCGGAGACGCAAATGGAAGATGTCTGGCCCGGTGGCATACCGACTACACCGGCGCCGTTTCCCAAGCACCTTGGCGCTCTTCGCACGGAGCCCATCCTATGGATCGGGTACTCTGAGGTCGACGATCCCGCTGAGCTGCAACCCGACAACCGGAGTGACCCGAAATGGGACCAGGTCTACACGCCCAAGATCTTCGGTTGCGAGCATTACGAGACGGATTACGAAGTTCTCTTCAACTATACGGGCCTCTTGCAGCACACAAACGTCACACGCCGCGACTTTCTCCGTCCCGTCGTCGACACGACGTTTCTCCCCGACGAGCCGGCCAACGACGGCACCATGGACAACACGACGGCCGTGCCCGAGTCCAACTATATCCTGCCGTCCGACACACGCCGCTACCGCCGCGCCATGGCCTATCACTCGATCGGCATGCAACTGCGCACCTTCGTCAACGGCTCCATCACCGAGCCCGGCAAGATAGCCAATACGCGCGCCCTCCAGACACGCCTCCTCGATCCGACAAACTGGCTCGGCGTCCGCGACATGCAGGGCGCCGTGCAGGGCTTCTACGAGGACATCCTGCTCTCCATGCTGTCGAACCCGCAGTTCCTCGCCGTGGCGGGGGCTGCCACGCCCGAAGTCGTCAGCGGCGTGAGTGCCGGCGACGAGAATACCATGTTCCCCTGCACCCGATCGCGCAACGATAACCGGTATCGATACGTGGCGTGGGAGCTGTGGGCCGTTTACGCGGCCGCCATCGCGCTGGCTATCATTGGCGTCGGGTTTGGCACGGTGGCCATATGGGAAGAAGGCCTCTGGCGGAACACGCGATTCAGCAGCATTGTGGCCGCGACGCGGGGACCTTGGCTTGAAAAGGTGCCGTGGACGGGAGACGGGCCGGTCGAGGGCGAGGCAAAACGCGTTAAAGTTGGGTACGGGCTTGTGTCGCCGAGTCGGGGCGAAGACGGACTTGCGGAGGATGAGGGGCGCTTCGAAGGACGTCCCATGAGTCGTACGTGGGATGCGGGTGATGTTGTGTCGCCGAGAGGCCCTAACAGAGTTTCCACGGTTGGGGGCAGAGGAGACGGCAGTGCGCGCGATAGGTTTGCCTTTGGACTCGAAGGAGACGTCAGGCAGGACAGGGCCGCCGAGCGGGAGGCCGAGGAGGGCGGTAATGGGAGCCTCGGCCGGAGCCCAAAGTTGCCGTTTAGACGGACATGGCAGCGGGTGGATCAAGCATGAGGCAAAAGCGGTCATTGCAAATGGCATTTATCAGGGAGCATCCGTCTTTTGTAAACTATCAGACTTAATGATATTGATCACCTGGCATCTGTTCTTTGTCCAACGCTTGAGATCTCCTCATGTAAGCCGTAGTGAACCAATTATTCGTTAAGGATACTGTATGTTGAAGGAGTTCCGGCAAGGAATATCCTACCTTAAGGGGCCGGAAGAGTAGCGTTGTAGCACTTGGGCAGACTCTCGACCGGACAGTCAAGATAGATGGCTACAGACAACATGTCAGAAATAGAACATCAACGTCATGCTCAAAACATACCGTTCGCAAACAGCGAATACGTGTCCGCGTTGTAAAGCGCCATGTCGGGATCGAGTTGCGTAATGTTGGGATACGAGTACGCAGCATCCTGAGTCGCAACTTCGTAGACGGCCGGGTTGTGCGTCATCTCATGGATCATAGTCGTCGTGTGGTCCTGCTTGTGGCACTCTTGCGGCACAGGCGGCCTCGTGTCGAAGAACATGGGACACATGATGATCCAGTTGTTCAGGGGCCAAGTGTAGCCGACGAGAGGCGTCGAGCACTCTGTCCAGTCAAAGGGCTCCGTGCAGTAGACGCGCACACCGCCCGAGTCGGACGTGCTGCACTCCCTTGGCCACGGCATCAAGACGGTCGGCGACGAACTGGCGCGATTCGGAAGCGTTGGAGCGGAAGTACTCTACAAAACGGACCGACGTTACATCACGGGCCTCGGCGGCGCCGGCCTCAGCGAGTGGCTTGCAGTTGGCGAGGGCATCGAGCATGAATTGCGCTGCGTCGTGTTCTTGCACGAGTCCTCCTGAAGCAGAGCACGATGCTGCAGAGGTGCCGGCACGACGCGAGACAGCAAGCAGTCGCCTCGGCAACGGTGACGGTCAGCGTGTTGGATTTATATTCCTCTGATACGGTTGGCAGAGAGGCACTGTCCGGTTGAGCGGCAAAAAGACCAGAAGCAGAGAACTCGTAGGTTCCGGCCGAGAGCCCGTACAAAGCGGCAGCGCCAATCCTTTTGATAATGGCAGATCCGGGGCGGGGAACCTCGTAGTTCTCTGGCGCCAGGGCTTCAAAGTCGACAGAGCCGACGATTCCCTGGAACGCGGCCTTCTGCCTAGAGCCATCTACAGCAAAAGTCAGTCTCATCAATGTCATAACGCAGGAGCTGCTGCCGCCACCACGTACCAAGCTCAATTCTCTGAGCGTCGAGAAGCTGGACTCTGGTCGATCCAAAGATGGTCCCAGCCTTGAGAAAGGCGAGATCTTTAGAGCCAGCATTCTTAATGGTCGCTTCGATGAGAAGAGGCGCGCTCTCGACCGAGCTCAGTGTAACCTCGACGTTGCCCTGACTCAGGGCGGCCCGACGAGCGATGGAGTGAGCAGTCACGCTGCAAGCGCTGAGGGCTGCGCCGAGGAGGGCGAAGAACCGACGTGAGTGCATCTTGATACGTGACGAAGGACTGGTGACCGGTTCTCTTTTCTCCTGGAGCAAAGGGGGCACGCATGCCTTTTGTTATGCGCTCTGACTGGGAGCATCTCTCCTCGGCCGGCAGTGCGAAGGTCCTGCATCCAAGAATACTACTGGGTTGGAAACCCCGCCGACAAGTAAACCGGAGAAAAACATGCAAGGGTCGATACGAGGGGTTGACGATACGAGGTTCTCTTGACCTACCGAAATGAGTTAGCACGATCGTCAATGCACCTGTGAAAGCCTGAGCACATGACTTGTGTCTTGGTTGAAGGTCAACTTTGCGAAGCAAAGCCCAAGGCAAAAACGAGACGTAGAAGATAGAAAGAGAATTGATTACTGCGAAACGAGTTTTGCGCTCCGGTTTCCATGGGGTGGCTATGACTGCCGTGGAGCGCAATTGTCTTGCATTAACACGTCCTGCATTAACACAAGGTCCCGACAGGTCAGGTTGCAGACAAGCGAGAGACGGTGCGGGGGGGGGGGCCTGATATTCCGCCATCAAGACCCTCGAGTCGTTCACAGACCGTGTAAGTTTGTGTCAGCGACAAGACAAAGCTCAACACCGCTTGCCTTGGCAAAGGTAGTCTTAGACTCGAGATCGTGGTAAGCCGTGAAGTTCAAGCAAGCTAGAGATCCAGTTCCGCTACAATTAGGACTCGCTCTGCCCCTCATATCACCTGGCGATGACGAAACGAGTTGCAAGCCAAGACAGTTGAACTCTACGCTCCATCCAGGTGCCGCACGTATAGTATAATGTCAGGATCGAACGCCATTCCTATCCTGGTGCTTGGGATGAGAAAAAGAACATGTCAGTCAAGAAAGGCAGCAAAAGAATCACACAAAGTCACAAAGTCAAGAAGCAAAGTGCAGGAAAACCGCGTCTATTCATCGGCGCCATTCCCTTCCATCTATAAACATCGGCACCGCCGGTTTCATGATGCCCACACCCCCCGGCCCCCAACCAGGATGGGGGACGGGGGGAGATGCTTTGGTCCGTAAAAACGTCAAGTAATACACGAAGCCAAACATAAAAAAGTAGGCAAAACATCTTGAGGGGATATATACAATTGAAAAAGTTCTGAAAAAAAGGATGTTTGTCCTTCAAAAGAATATGTCAGGAGAGGAACTGGTCCTCTCCCTGTTTGCGGCTCGTCGAAAATAGACTGGCGCATTTAGAGGCGGGCGGCCTGGACGTCACGGGCGTGGCGGCGGGCACGGCGAGCGGCGCGGCGGGCGCGGCGGCGGGCGGCGGCAGGGCACTCGGCGGGGACCTCGGGGGTGGGCTCCTCGACGGGCTCCTCGACGGGGGCGCTGGGGACGGGAGCGGGAGCGGTGGGCTCCTCAACGGGGGCAGAGGGGGCAGGGGCACTGGGCTCCTCGACAGGGGCCGAAGGAGCGGGCGCGACGGGAGCCTCGGTCTCAACGGGGGCCGCGGGGGTCTCGGTCTCGGCGGGAGAAGAAGGAGCGGGAGCAGGGGCGGAGCCGGAGCCACCACCAACAACGGCGGGGGAGGTGGCGGTGGCGGCGGGGACGGCCTGCTCAACGGCCGAGGCGATGGCGGGGGCCGCAGGGCCGGGGATCTCGTACGAGGTGGAGGAGTAGAGGTCGTACAGGATACCGGCGTCCTCGGCGGTGTAGAGCGAGGTGGCGACGGTGCCGGTGGGGAGCTCGGAGCCACCGCCAGTGACGCGGATGTTGATGCACTGGGGGTAGTTCTGGGCACCGTCGGGCTGGCCGGAGGCGTGGAGAGCAATGATCTCGTGACGCAGGACGTAGTCACCGGCGGCGAGGGTGGCGGGGATCTTGACGAGCCAGCCGTTGCCCTGCTCGATCAGGACGTCAGAGGCCCAGGTGCCGGAGGAGCCGGCGCCGGAGATGAGGCCGACCTCGGCGATCTTGAAGAACTCGAGCGAGGCCTTGTCGACGGTGGTGCAGTCACCGCTGCCGCACGAGGCGAGGTAGTCGATGACGGGACCCTTGTGGGACTCGGGCCAGGTGTCCCACTGGAGGAAGATCTCGCCACCGGCGGCGACGACGGCGGTGCCCTCGGCGTTGGTGGCGCCGCGGTGGCAGGCAATGTCGCCGGTGCCGAAGGCGGAGGGGGCGACGAAGCCGTTGTCCAGGGCGGTGGTGGACCAGCCGACGAGGGGAGCGTGGTTGGCGTTGTAGGCGTTGGACAGGCCGAAAGCCTCGTACTGGGTGCCGTCGGCGATGATGCTCTCGACGTGGCCGTGGGCCATGACGGAGGCGGCGCCAGCAACGGCGGAGAGAAGAGCGTTGGTCTTGAAGGAAGGCATTTTTGCAGAAAGTTTTCCAAAAGTTGGGAGTTGGTGGTTTGGTTGGTGTTTTGGTAGATGGAGTTGGTAGTTGAAGATGCCGCTGGCAGAAAGAATGTGAATACTTCAGTCAATGAAGTTCAAAAGAATGAATGTGCAAGAGAAGAAGGAATGATCCCGTTGCGAAAAAAAGAGAATGTAGTAATGAAAAATTGCGATTGAAAGCCTGGTGAAGAGAGAGGAGGAGGAAAAGCCGTTGAAGGGTGGGGAGGTCGAGTCCTTATATCCCTTCGTGACAGACCTGGACTTGGGGACATGCCGACTAATTCTTTCTGCTATCTTTCTGGGTTATTTTTTGCGCCTCTCTGGTTGATTTTTGTTGTTCTCTTGCCCCTCATACGGT